AGCAGGAGAATTCACATTCTTTTCATGTATCCATGGAACATTCACTTTGAGAGACCACACCATGGGTCATGGCACAAACATTAACAGATTTAAAAGAATGATAAGCACACAAATCATGTACTGACCATAAACTTATTGTATACTTACCACATAATATAGACATCTCACACTTAGCTATTACTCTAGAGAAATGGAACCTTGTGGTTATAAACAAGTACGTAAATATTTAGAAGTTGTATTCACAGTCACCTAAAGCAGGAAAAAACCCAAATGACCTTCAATAAGTAAATGAATTTAACAAATGTAATTCATCTACACAGATTACTACTCAGCAATACAAAGGAACTATTTATATATACAACACTATTGATGAATTCCAAAGCATTACACTGAGGAAAAGAAGGCAATATCCAAAGATTACATGCTGTGTGACGCCACTTACCTAACAATCTAGAAAAAGCAAAACCGATGTGGAAGGAGAAGACAGTCATTAGAAGACGTTCTAATGTCAGCCATTAGAAGCAGGCAGAGGTATGGGGCGCCTGGGTGGCTTAGTCGGTTAAGCGTCCGACTTTCGCTTAGGTCATGATCTCGCAGTTCGTGGGTTCGAGCCCCGCGTCGGGCTCTGTGCTGACTGCCAGCTCAGAGCCTGGAGCCTGTTTCAGTCTGTGACTCCCTCTCTCTCTGACCCTCCCCTGCTCACATTAAAAAAAAATTAAAAGAAGCAGGCAGAGGTTTTAAGTACAAAAGGGCAGCTGAAAGGAATTGTTTGGTGTCACGCCGCTATTCTAGATTCTGATTGTGGTAGTGGTTACAGGAATTCAGACACATGTTAAAACTTACAGAAGTATACATCAAAAACATAAAAGGTTAAAAAAAAAACTTGAGTGAGTTGCTCAAGATTTTGTGACTTTGATATGATGAGTCAGAAGAAAGAGTATTTGTACTGGGCCCTCAAATATTTGTTGAAATAAATGAATTGATGATTGGAACAGTCTCTACTGTCAAAATAGTAACTTGGCAATAAATTAATTAATTGTAAAAATTCAAATCACAATTTTTTAAATGTATTTAAATAACACCAATACCTTTCAACAAGTCTTCCTGCTTCAATAGTCTCTGCCATGTGACACTGCAGTCTTTCCTTCTAAAGGTTCCACGTGTACTTCTCCAGCCCTCAGTTTGGTTTCAGCTACGTGACTTGCTTTGGCAAAAGTATACGGTAGAAGCGATGATGTGCCAGTTCCAAACCTAGACCCTGAAAGGCCTTCTATGTTTTCATTTGTGCCGTTAAACCTCTATCAATGCCATGAGGAACACCTGCTGGGATTAGTCCACCAGGCCTGAAGGAAAAGAAGATATTTGTGGAGAAAATCCCATGAAACTGAGCCCGGGAGACTCACAGATCCATGAGTCTTTCATGTGGCAAAGGCTAATGGGTATCTTTCCAAAGAACAAAATGACCTCTAGTCTCTGACAGGATCCCAGTCTTAGGGTGATAGCAAAGAGAATCAAGGTATCTAGGAAAGTATTCAAACAAAAGGAACAAGACAAATCTAGTTCTAGCAAATGGAGTGTATGATTTCTCCACAGGCTCAAAATAAAACCTGGTTAACAGATCTGAACGGAAAAAATCAAAGCAAAATAAGCATCAGTGTTAACTTGTTACTTGATCTAAGCGCAGACAGGATTAGAACTCAGTTAAAAGTAAGCAAGACTGAATCTCTAGGTGAAGGTCTAATAAATACAGAAATAGGAATAAAAGATGAGTAGTTGCGGGGGGGGGAGGAATGCCTTTATGGAAATATAAAGAGGCCACTATATAGATAAGCATTGTGTTTCTTCTTTCCACTTGGCTATCAAGGGAGCTTAATGATAAGTTTTATGTGCAGTTACAGCAAACTTCTCTTCCTCCAAATGTTTCTGACCTTTCTTATCTTCATTTTAATAGTATTAACACTATTCCTTCAAAGGAAAAAAAAACATTATTCCTTAGGACTGTCTGTAATTCATTTTAGAGATGGGTATGACAGATATTATAAATATCAATGTGTGATTTCTTAGCTTATGAACTAATACTTTCAAAATTGTGCACTATGGGGGTGCCTAGGTGCCTCAGTCAGTTGACCTTCCAACTTTTGATTTCAGTTCAGGTCATGATCTGAGTCATGAGATCAAACCCCTCGTCAGGCTCTGTTCTGGGTGTGGACCCTGCTTACGATTCTCTCTTTCCCTCTGCCTGTCCCCTGCTCACATGGGTGTGCTCCCCCCCTTAAAAAAAAAAAGTACATTATGATCATCGTACAATGTACTCAATATACCAAGAATAATGGGGGACACTACATGAGGGCTGCTCCTTGTCTTTTAAATAAAGGGCCCAAAACACTGACTTTTGTAAAATTCTCATTCGGTACTCTGCAATATTCAGGCAGTCTTAAGAACTTGAAAAAAATGTCTTGCCAAATGCCTCAGAGATGCAAAGTTAAGTTAATACAGTTGTTTCTCTTAACTCTTATTACTCAATACTGTGATTAACTTCAGATGTCCAGGCTGAAAGTTTTCTGTTGCCAAACTTTCTAAGAGAACACTCCTTTTAACAGCTGAAAGATATCAAAAGTCAAAAGAATAAAAAGTAGCTTAGTTTGGATATGCCTTAAAACCCAGTGTTTTAAATAAAAAGAGCCAAGTACTATAGCATTAATGCTTGTTTTATTTGGGAAGACCTTGAATTTGGAAAAGCATCCTTTTATCCCATGCTTACTGGGCCATGTCATTTGCTATCGGTGATCATCCAAGTTTATTCATAGTATGATCGTAAGATGCTTTTATATAGAGTACAAATTATGTTGTGCATAAATTTAGTAAGATAAGAAATATTAAATTGAAATGAATTAATATTTATACTTTTTCAAAATCCTTCCTAAAATTTTCTAAATATTTTATGGATATCAATAGCAATTTTAATATTCTAATTTACTTGAAAATTGACCTTATAACATTGCATTTGGAAATCCTGGCAATCCCATTATTAGAGATAATTACACTGGAACAGAATAAAATCTGATATTTACATTCAAATAAAAAATTTCATTTACATACAGGTTGAGAGAAACCTCATTTAAGAGCAAAACTCATTGTGTTACATATTAGAACAATTGCAACTCCTTACAAAAATACCTGCACCTGGGCTTTACCTCCAGAGATTCTGGTTTGTTTCATTAGGGCCAGAACATTGGGCATCAGTACTTTTTAACAGCTCCACCAGGTGATTTTAATGTGCAGCCTGGGTTGAAAACCACTGATTTAGTATTTTAGGTCATTGTGGTATGATCCCTATAAAAACTGATAAAATCTTAGGCATTCTTTTAGAAGCACTGTGACCAGACCGAGGGAGGCGATCAGAACCACTGCAATAGTCTATGTCCCACTCGGAGGACACACTGGGAAGTGTGATGTTGACAAAGGGGAAAGAAGCAGGGAGTTACAGAGGACAGGATGATGACATGGTTGTTAAAACCTAAAATGTTTACTTTGGAGAGTGCACTTAAGAAGATTATAGTCCATCTGCATTGCTAACTCATGAAAAAGGCATTCAACTTGGTCTATGTTCCTCCAGAAAGCAGAGCCAACAAGAAGTTAAGAGGGCAACTGGTATCAGCTCCATATAAGGAGAATTCTGATAACTAAAGTGTTTCATCCACAGAAGAGCAACCTGCAAAACTCTCAAGAGGCCAAGTGGTCTGTCATCTACATGGGAAAGAGGTTGAACTGAATGATCTTCTTTCTCTCTCAGCCTGAGAGAACGTCTTGAGACTTCATGAAATTTCTCAAACTGCATTCTAGTGTTTTGGGACCTAAAGCAGCAGAAGAAACAATTGACTGTGGGAACTTGGCTGGACCAAGGCTGTCTCTAATCATGAACTGTTTCTTTGTGTGACCACATTAGGTCCAACGTGGCTGCCTTAGCACTGGCCAAGTCTCTGGATGTACTAACCTAGGGAAAAGTTGGTTATTTTTGTCTCCCAATATAGAACTTTTTAGGTTTCGTTTAAATTGTCATGTAATGATTGATTAGACATCTGTTATTCACCATGGTTCCACTAATTAGCTGGAAATCCTCATTCAGTAAGCTAACCACAGGTTATAAATATTGTGTGGTGATAGAAATAACATCTTTGGTAAAGAAAAATTATTTAATGATACCTATTAAAGCACAGTAAGGCAAACTTTATTCAGGACCCTTGCAATAGGTATAGGGACCAATGAAGTAGGATGTTGCATTAAGGGGGAGAAATTGAGCTCATCTTAGACTATAGCACGGCATGGGCAGTGGGAATTTATGGCTCAGGAGCAGGGTGGAAGTCAGCTGATGGAAAATTCCCAAAAGGGAACATCAGGGAAAGGGGGGATTCTGGCTAAACCAACTTAACAGGATTCTTGCTGAAGGCTGGCCAGTGATCAAATATCACCTGAGGGATGGTGGAAAATGAGGATTTCAGTCAGAAATCAAGGGTGATCAGATATCAGGTGTCGGGAGGAGAGGAAAGGGGGGCTTCCTCTTAAACTGCATTTTATTTTTCTTAAGTTTATTTTTTATTTTGGGGGTGTAGAGAGAGAGGGAGAGAAAATCCCAATCCCAAGCAGGCTCTGCACCGGCAGCACAGAGCCTGATACAGGGTTCGTGAGGCCATGACCTGAGCTGAAATCAAGAGACGAAAGCTTAACTGACTGAGCCACCTAGGAACCCCTAAACTGCATTTTACATGGAAGGGCACAGAGTGGCCTAGGAGAAGTTTCAGGAGCCTGATTAAAGTTTCGCCAAGCAAAGAATCTTTGTCACTTTCAAGGGTTAAGCTAGATTGTGTCTTCCCAATCTTTGATGCATATTAGATGTATTTAGGTAGCTCACTCCCTACCAAAGGTAATTTGATATTAAATTATATTAACAAAAATCTAACATGAGTAGTCTTCACTTTGCTTCTATAACACTAATACTTTACCTATTAAATTGAGATCTGGGCACCACCATGGGTATATGGACACATCTCCATGGACATATTGACAAATCATTCCAAGAGGAAAGGAGAGTACATGCAGTGATATTAATACTTTGTAAGATCAGGAAGCCACACTGAGCAGGAAGGAGATCCAAAAGTGGTCATTTATACAAGGACTGTGAAGAATCTGACACTCTAAATGCGGAAAAGATAATCTGGTGAGGCAAAAGGGGTGGCGGGGAGAGAGGGAATGTTTGTGATTCTTATTTTAAATATTTGAAAGATAAGCCTGTATTAAAAGACATTAATTTTTTTCACATAATCCCCAATGTACAGATATAAACTTTAAGTAGAAATTACAAAAGACAGACTTTCACACAGTTAAGATAAAGCTTTGCTGTCTCTGTCTCAGGATTCAGTGGCGAGCCCATCACTGGATTGTAATGGAAGGATATCATCTAAGTTCTTTCAGGTACAAAAACGGGAATGTAACAGACACCCAACAAACATTCATTAAATGAAATTGCCAAGTGTAGTCTGGACAATCATCAACCAAGGAAGGTTGGAAGGGATTTGTTTTGGGTGGGAACAATGCAGAGATTGGATTACCTAGCTTATAAGGCCACTTCCAATCCTGAGAGGTGAACAAATTAAATTACAAAACCCTACAATGACTCTAGTTTTTAAATTATTTTAAAATCAATACATACCTAAGTCTACCATCTCCAAACAAATATGTATCATTTTCTCAAATATATGATTGATTTTATTAGTCAGGTAAAAATAAGTTATCTTGCAAGGCTTGAGCCTTTAACATATAAAGCTTCATTTCTTTTTCACACACATCTATGGTGGGCCTGGCACCTGTTAAGGCAAACCCCCTTCCAAATAGTGACACAGGACCCAGACATCTCAATATGTATGCTTCAAGGGTCACTACTCTGGACTTTTAAATGGGAGTGCTCTTAAATGGGCCCTTAAATTGGCCTTGGGAGTGATCCACATTACTTCTGCTCATAAGCCACTGGCCAAAAGCAGTCACATGACTCCACCTAACTATGAGTGAGAAATCTGGGAAGCATATGGATGTTTCATGAAAAGCACATGAAACTGTCACAAAAGTAAATTGTCACTGAAGATTTATGCTCTGAGCTACAAGCATCTGAGAGTGGATACCAATTAATCACGTCACATAGACAATTACATATTCTGTACTTCTTGTTCTGTCCTCAATTTAGACGTTAAAAAAAAATAGTGCAACATTGGACTGAATATTTGCAAGAAAGCCTGTTGAGGATGAAACTGAAAAACAGTTCAGGGCACACAACATACTTTCCAAAAATAACAGAACAATCTGAAATCTTAACGTCAAAACAAATGTCCTAAATTAGTAGATATAACCCCTCTAACCAACAGCAAATTAGATGTGGGTTCATGCCCACTTGTCACATTCTTATTTTGAAATATAATTAGATTGATTATAACTCCTGAATCTCATTGATCTCTCTCAAGTTTTTACATACTTGAATTTACTGTTTGTTACCTTTCAGATGTCTCAGATCTGCCAAATCCTTTACCAATTTTAAGCAGTTAAAAATATCTCCTCCATATTTGTATAAAAATACTGGTTGTTACTGAAGTCTGTTTTATTCAAACTATTACTTACATACAGTCAGGAAGTTTCTAAGTTCTGGACTTTTCTTACATAAACCCCATTACAGCTCTCCTAAATCATTCATTTTTTTTTTCAGATTTATACAGGTCCATACTTCTGAAATTATAGTTTTAATTCCATTATCCATTACATTTCTAGGATCACAGTGAATAGATGTTAAAATCGTGCTTGGTTAAAATCAACAAGCCACACCCAACAGCAGTGTAATCTGTAACCATGGTAATAGCAGTAGTTCCAATGAAAATACACATCAAGGCCACACTCTCCTTGGAGTTTAAAAATCCACTGTTTTCACAGTTTCCTATTTTATAACTATTGTTTAGTTTAAAAGAGGATGATAAAATATAGAGATTTTGGTCACTATATAAGCACAATGCTTTTAAAAGCATTTTATCAAAACTGTTTTAAGATAGGTAAAACCAAATTCATGCAATTCAAAATACTTTTTGAAAGTCTAATACACATGTGACCTCTAAGCAGGTTACTCCAAAATTGATCACTCCCTGTCTCAGTCCTTCAGCACAGAACACTGCAGATAATGGTGATATCAGTTTATTATTACAACACAGTAGTAGATCATTCTATCCAACTCAAAGCCACCTACATATCCATTTATTCAAGAACCAACTGTACAATCTTTCTCAAGTCTTTACTTCACATATCATAACCAAAGTACGCATTATTAAAAGGACAGATTTATTTTTATTTTTGGTCTATCTTTTAACTTTAAACTCCTATTACCTTCAGCGATCATTTTGATTCAACTACAATAAAATCTCAGACATAAAACCAAGTCTCCATTACTCACTCACACATAAGTACATACTGTATGCTAGGCCATATGCTAGGGTCTAAAATGGAAAAGATTAAATAAGGGCCAATCCCTTTCCTCAAAGAGCTTATGGGCTTATTGAGGAAAATGAAAGGTAAATAAACAATCCAGTGTGTTAAGTGCTCAGAAAAGCAGGTCAACTTAGATAGTATAGACAATTTTCCCTGGTTCAGTTATCTACACTGCTGTGTAACAAACGACATAGAACTTAGTGACTTAAAACAATGTTAACTTTGTTTCTCGTGGCTCTGTGGGTTGACTGGGCTCAGCAGGTGGATTTTGCTTGGGGACTCACATGTGGTAGCAATAGGAAGTCAACCATGGAGACAGTAGCAACTGAAGGTTCGACTGGGTTCCTTATATCCAAATAACTACCCACATGGTGCCAACTGATACTGGAGCTCCTCTTCAGCTCTTGGCCAGAATACTTGTACATGTCCTCTCCTGGTGGCATAGGCTTCCCACAGCATGGCACCTGGATTCTAGAGGGGGTGTCCAAAGAATGAATGCATCAGGAGAACAAAGCCACAAGGTCTCCCATGCCTTAGCTTGGAATATCCAGAGCTGCTTCCCAGGAGACCCGCCCAGGTTCAACGTGGGAGGGAACAGGACAAAAGTATGAATCCTGGGAGTCATGGCTCATTGAGGACCATCTTTAGTGACTTGCTATCACAGGTGCCAAATCATTTAGGTTTCAGTAATCTATATTTACTTTAATTTCCTCTACTTTTAGCTCACAGAAGATCAATAGGGAAGCCATTTTGCGACAATGTGAAAAGCAATGAAGTCACTCTAGAGTCAGTTAGTTCCTGAGCACCTGAATTCAGCCAAGCAGGCAGAGCACAAAGTGATCCACTAGGAGGAAAGGCCATCAAGAAGGTTATGTGATCAACATTTGAATACACGAGAGCTGGAGTAAATTAGCACTATGGCAGTACACCTCTCTTCAACAACTTAAGCAAGAACAAATTGAGCTAATCCTCAAAGAATCAAAAAAGAGATTACTAACTTTCACAGTTTGTCTGAATCAGCCAGTTTTTGTACCACAGGAATCTTGTCCTCATTGCTGCACTTACTGGCCCTTTGCTGATTATGAAGAAAAATATTATTACTTCTCTTTCCCTCCCACAAACACATTTTTAAGAATATACTTATTTTTACAATTAAACTCTCTGGAACTGTTTGAATGTAAGTTATTTTGTCTACTCAAAACCAACTACTATATCACTTGTTATGGGGTCTGACCACTTCTATACTGATTTTATTATTAGTTCAGGCCCATGTCCCCTAGAGAACATGGATGACCAGTTTACAAAGTAGGTAAAGAATAGAAAACAAATTATTTCCTCAGTACTAACTGGAAATTATGCTAGCTATCCTTTATTTCAGAAATGAGGTATCCAAGTCCTTCTTTTAAAATATTACACCATGTTATCAAAATAAAAAAAGAAATTCCTGAAAAAACATTCAACGTTATTATTATTAATCATATGAGCCTTTAAGAAAAAATTTGAAAGCACGGATTTTTTAAAAGAATTAAAATTCCTGCTTTTTGCTTAAAATTTACACCCTATTAGTTATCTACATTGACCACAAGATGGGGCTGTGATGTCACAATTTGGTGAGATTTATAAACTATATAAACTGTGTAAATACAGATGAAAATAATTTAATGAAGCAAAGTTTAATAGGATCATCCCATTTTAAATATGCATATATTTTAAATTAATCAATTATCTAATCATTAATGTTCAGCAAAAGAAAATCATGCATTAATTTGTCCATTTCTCACTTGAAATCGTTGAGCTTTTTTCAAACACAAAATTCTGTGTAGGTGCAAAATTACAGATCACAATGTGATTTCTTTAAGGACTCTTTCTACCATTTCACATTGGGTTTTTAAAAGAAAAGTTACTGAACTTAAATCAGTGTTAAGAAAAATGTCTTTTAAAAGTATGTTTAAAATTGTTTTATAATTAAGCACAAAGAAATTCATTCCTCATCACAAATCTTCATGAAATTTGTTTCTTCTTTTCCATCTCTTAATTTTTTTTAACAATCTAATATAGTTGACCCTTGAACAACACAGGTTTGAACTGCACATGTTCACTTATATGTGATGTTTCTTATTTACAGTACAGTATGGAAAATGCATTTTCTTTTCCTTATGAATCTCTTAATAACATCTTTTATTTTCTCTAGTTTACTTTATTATAAGAATACAGTATATAATACATAGAACATTTTTTAAAAAGTGTTAAATTTTATATTGTCAGTAAGGCTTCCAATCCACAGTATGTTATTAGTAAATTTTGAGTGGAGTCAAAAGTTATACAGGGATTTTCAACTGGGTGGGGGATGAGAGTCGGAGGGTGGTCTTGGCATCCCTAACCCCTGCATTGTTCAGGGATCAACTGTATTTACTTTGAGATGAGGATAATTTGAAAGAAACAGTATATTCTTTGTTATTTATGGCATTTGTGATCTTTCCATTTCATGTGTTGAAATTTCTTTAAGTTGATTATTTCTGTATTTTGTTTTATTAGATGAGCAAAAATTCCTTTCTAATTTTCAAAAGATTATAAAGATTCAGATTTCTTAGTCAACCATTTCTCAGTAGAGACACAACAGTATGCCAAAATAATCACTGTTAGCTGATTTATTAAAACAAACACCACCACTTCAAAAATCAGCAAAGAAGCTACTTTTCATATGAGTATATTCTAATGTATTTTAATATGTTAACAATGAAACATAAGTGTAATTTAATCCTTAAAATTAAATTTTTTTTTAATATTTATTTATTTTTGAGAGGGACAGAGACAGAGTGTGAGCAGTGGAGGGGCAGAGAGAGAGAGGGAGACACAGAATACAAAGCAGGCTCTAGGCTAAGCTGTCAGCACAGAGTCCAAGCCAGGGCTCAAACTCACAAACCATGAGATCATGACCTGAGCTGAAGTCGGAGGCCCAACGGACTGAGCCACCTAGGTGCTCCTATTTTATCCTTAAAACAACAACAACAACAAAAACTGTCTTGAAGAGTTAAGATTTATAAAGTGTACACATCTCTCATGTCTCCTCTTTCCAGTTGTTCTAATTCCTTTTATTAGAATAGTTTAGCTATGTTGCATTTTTAAAGCATGTCTACATGCAGTTTTCTGTTCTTTTCATTACTTATTTCTTAATGTATGTCTTCAAATTTAATGCAAAATTTGTTGCTTTCATTAGAGTTTTAAACATTTTTCCTCTTCTTTTCCCCAAGCGCGTTTTCTTAATAAAGAGTTATTCTAAAATAAATCTGTAGCTTGCTATTCTGAAAGACCACAGATACACAGTGCTGTTTGACAAAGGCTGCTTTCATGAAGGCTTAAAGACTTTAATTTTCTAAAATAGTCAACATCTAGTCAAAGAGAGCTATTTGCAGAGACTGACTCTCAACTGTGACTAAAAATTGTATTTGGCTTTCCTGCAACTTGAAGAGATCTGTTGAATAGGCCACTCCATCTTCCAAGTGAATGACAGACCCCAAAATGTCATACAAGATAGACTTAGCAAGCAGGTAAATTAATAAGTGCAGATGACAGACAGGAAAATAGGAGTGAAGGAATATATAGATTCTGTCATTAGGATGGACAGAATGGACTCAATTCATATGTTAATTGTTTTCCATACTTTTATCCTGTAAAGGGGTATTTGATCTTTTAGTTGACTTAACAACACAAGTACACTATTAGTGTTTTCCAAAAATGAAGCAAAATAAAGAAAACTAATATGCTGGACAACTATTAAAGTATCTGTATTAAAGGGCGCCTGGGTGACTCAGTCGGTTAAGTGTCCTACTTCAGGTCAGGTCATGATCTTACGGTTCATGGGTTCGAGACCCACATTAGGCTCTGTGCTGACAGCTCAGAGCCTGGTGCCTGCTTCAGATTCTGTGTGTCTCTCTCTCTCTCTGACCCTCCTCTGCTCCTGCTGTCTCTCTCTCTCTCTCTCAGAAATAAACATTAAAATTTTTTTTAAAAAAATAAATAAAGTATCTGTAGTAAGCGAAAACATTCACATGGATTCCTATGCACATTAAGAATTATAAAGAAAGCCACCATGATGAGCATTTAAAGCTCTTTGGGAATATATGTCTCTCTCTCTCACACACACACTCATACACACACACACAACTGTAAACACAAATAGTTACTATTGACATCAATATACTTCCATTTATTCAAATTAAATTAGTTAGGAGAATTCTCCCCTTTTCTTCCTTCTGTTTTTTTCTTTATATTAAACAATTAATACACAAATATATATCTACAGTATAAGATTTCAGTTCCACAAAACAGTAAAAATAGAAGTGATATGATCTAGCAATTCCACTTCTGGGAGTATATTTGAAAGAAAATCATTATCTCAAAAAGCAATCTGTACCCGCATGTTCACTGCAGCAGCAGGATTTATAAATGCCAAGACATGAAAACAACCTAACTGTTCACTGGTGGATGAATGGATTAAAAAATGCAGTATATATGCGATGGAATATTATTCAATCTTAAAAAAGAAGGAAATATTACCATTGTGATATGAGACTTGAGGGTATTACGGTGAGTGAAATAAGTTAGAGAAATACAAACACTGTATGATATCACTTACATGTGCAATTTAAAAATATGAACTCACAGAAACAGAGAACAGATCGGTAGTTGCCAGAGGTGAGTGTGTGTCAAGTGAGTTTTCTCGATCCATCCAATCCTGCCTATTTTCTGTATCTTTTCAAAGTTTCTGATCTGCTTATGAGAATTTTTCACACCTTTCCTGATTACGAATTGTTCATTTAAAAAGTACATTTCATATCATTTCATGAAACCTGAGATAAGAGGGAAGTTAGAAAATGCTCAGTTGACTGCCTTGATCCAATTTCTGAAAACATGGCATGAAATTAAAAGTTACTATAGGTTGCCACTTGTGTATACCACAACTAAAAAGAAACAGGATCTCCTAGATGTCTTTCTTCTGAAGTGTATCATAAGGGATATTAAGCTGGTTTGCACTGGTAGACTCTGTTTTTTTTAACCAGAATCTGCTCTGATTGGCTGGCACCCGTGATGGACTGTAGTACTTAAGAGTATTAAGTGCCACTAAAGAAAAGAGGTAGAACCCAACTTCCTTATTTCCTAAGTCTATCTTCTGTATTTATATTTATATTATCTTGATCGTCACTATTTCCTCAGTGCCTGGAACAGAGCGTGGCCCATAGTAGAGATTTAAAGACACCACAACACAGATAAATATATGTTGAAAAGATATTTTGTCTCTATTTCCTCTCTTGAAATATCACTAGATCAATCCCTAGGCATTTTCAGATTGATAATTCATAATTATACATTTCAATTCATAATTCAATAAGGAGAGTTTTCACTAAGTTATAATATCAGTAAATGTACCAAGCAAAACTTAAAAAGATCATAGTCTATTATATCCAGATATCTGGATACCCCATCATACCCTATTCTCTTCTAAAGATAAATCACCAATAATAAAGAGACCAACAGAAAGTTAGTTTAAATTACTTTATTTTTCATAAGTTTCTAACACATGGTGTTAGAAAAATGAATTTTGGCACCATGACTCAGAACATTTTTCAAGTTTAACCTTTAAATTAAAAACAGTAGCTACAATAAGTATATTTAAACTGTACTCAGAAAAATGGTGAAAAATCAAGTCACAATTTTTTTTTTTTGGCTGGGGAATTTTTGTAAAGTGGGGTCAAGAAAAGGTAATCAAAAGAGTAAGAAGGGTAAATGGGAACTACACTGGGAAGATACAAAAGCAAATAACTCTCTCTGAAAAAGAAAAAGAATAAGGAGGGAGACAAAGGGCAAAGAGAAGAAGAAAGGCTCACCAACTTTATATTCCTGATATAAAATTCAAGTACTTAACAAAGTTTTTTAAAAATCATAAAATGCTACTACTAATCTCATGAAATTTTCTTTTCCTCACTGTTTTCTAGAATTAAAATTAAATGTCTGTTTTGACTTAAGGACACTTGCGGATTTTAAATTGATACTTGATATACTTTCAGAAATGGAAAGCCTTGAAAGCTTTCCTAAATCTAATACCTACTCAATATAATCCACCTTGGAAAATTCATCTGAAGGAATATAGGGTTTGATTTGTAATACAAATGTAACCAAAAAAACCTGTCCAACAATCTAAACAGAAATGTTTTCAACTGGCTCTGCACCTCAATTGTGTTTTGTACTAAGATTCTTGAGGAAAACCATTGCATAATATTTACTGTTCTTTGTATTCCTTCAGTAACTACTAGAAGAGGTACCTGCATAGATCATCAAAAAAGTACTCACACAATTACTTGTATACAAATTCAGTTATAACTCCAGTTTTCCAATGATTCAAAAATTGTCAATATTCATGCATATTCATTTTGTCTACATGTTGATAAACATTCTTCCCAAACTTTTATTAATAATAAAATATTATTGGTCTCAATTTTCACTTGTACATTTGTAGCTGAATATTTTATCAAATGAAACATGAATTCAGTAAGTTGTCATTATTCTCAGAGACAATAGGCATAGAAATAAATATTTGCTTTTATTTTTTTTCTTCTTCAATCTGTGTTTTAAGGCTCAGAGCAGACCATTATGAAATATCAAACAATTTTTTACAAAAAGTTTTTCAAACGTTTGGCCAAAGTGAAGTTGTTCTGTTGAAGGTACTTAAATATTCCTCTCATCTTCTCAAGCACAACTCCAAAGACATGTTCATCCATTCCGAAAGAAAAATTCATTTTCCTGAAAAGTACATAACTTAGGGGTCTATAAATGACACTGCAATGTATCTCGTTCCATTTTTAACAGGAAGTCCTTCGTGCAAATGTGTGAGTCTCCCTGGATGCATGAAGCTCCAGCCTTTTCTGGGTGATTCAATAGAGCAGTTATACCTCAGAAATTTGCATCCACCTCCCTAGAAGAGATGGAACAAATAAATGTATCAGCTTATTGTTTGATTTTTAATTGGTGGCAAAATTTAAGTCATGCCATCTAAACAGATCTAAAAAATAAAAGGTAAGAGCCTTATCGTAATGACATATTTCTTTTAAAAAAATGGAAAAAATCAAAGCCACAATTACTTGAAAATCTTCTCCCACGTTATTGAGTGCAATGTTGATGGTAAATGTAGAAGCATCATGATGAGGGCGAAGAGAGCGCTGCCTTTCAGGGGAGTATTTTACTACAAAATTCAATAGTGCAAACCCCTAAAAAAAGCAAAGAAAACCAATGAATTTGTTTATAATAAAAATATAAAATAGCACATTTGTGTAAAAACTAGTAGGAGGTAGACAGGAGGAATGGGAGCATAACTACCTTTGTATAATAACCTGCGAAGACCTTCAGTGTAACGGGTGCAATAAACTCCCGGATAAAATGAAGCCATACATTCTCCAGATCAATTTGCTTCATGTGGATATCATCAGTTGGGACATTTTCATAACCACCAGATATACGGCTATCCTGGAAACAGCATTAATGATGTCATAAAGTGTAGTCCACATGCAATTCACATTTATATTACCTTGGAATTTTTTTCAACCACAAGATCATAATAGACAATAAAAATAGCAGTTGTTCACTTATGGTGTACCATCTGCTTTAATTGCAAAACCATCAAAATAACTTAGATAACGTGGCTTTGCAAATGTATCACGAGGAAGCAAAGTACTGTAGAGTGAGTGGACTCCTTTCTTATTAATATACATGTGAGGTCTGACTATAAAGTAAATAAAACTTACTTCCAAAGCCCTCCAATGCCCCCTAAAAAAATTAAGATTTTTACAGTACCCTTCAGGCAGTCTTAGTTACTTGATGAATAAAGATTCTTGCTTGTCTGCACTTTGGATCCCCTATCACTGAAAACAGGCTTTCCCTGCTATGTTCCCCACTTCAATTTTATGATACCTAAAATCCTTCTATGATTGCTTTTTATTATCCTACAACCAGATGACTTCTAATTCTTCCTCATACTTTGAACTTCCGTCTCTCTGGTCGGCTAACTAGCTGGGGTATGAAGTTGAACAGAGGCAGTAATATTAGAGTATTTTCCTAGAAATCCTTGGTATTGTTAAGGAACAGGCATCTGTGGATTCTCAGAGGAAAAGAAACACACTGAACCACCAACAGTAATGCTTCCTGCTAAGTCTTTGACATTGAATGTAAATTCAAAACTGAATTACACCAATGGCATTCAAACAGATTTCTTCTTCCAACGTTTACACACGAGAAAAAGCTTTGGCAGTCAACCTAATAAACTTTGTCTTGGTATTTTCACTACAGCTCACTGAAAATTCAGAGAAGAAAAACTGGCCTTGGAAAAGAGGAATACCATACAATAGACATATATTTCCTTACCCTTCCAGCCTGTAGACACTGACCTTTAGAAACCAGCTAGTGTAACTGCATATATACATGAGAAACTGAGGCCAGATAGATTAAATGCTACCAGAGTTCTCTTAACAGCCTTGGCTAGCCCCTGCATAATTTTAGGTCCAGAAGTCAGAGATACCTGACGAAACAGACAAATCTCCTCTACCTTCTCTAAATCTAAATATCTACCCTTGCTCTTATCCAACATACAGATTGTAGTTCTTTGCGTGAAATTACAACTTACATGATGTTTCCCCCCAGACCACTGGCCATAATGCTCCATTTCTTCCACCAATTCATCACAGGCTTTTTCAGAAAAGATGGGAAACCAAAAGACATCGGGACAAGGCTATAAAGCAAGGCATCATCATTAACAGAATAACACTGTGTCTTTTAACTAATAAATGGCACTGCAAAAGTAACTGGATGGAATAGTCAATATTCATCTCACTTAGATGCCTTTTTAAGAGGTTTGTCCAATATCACTGACACTAATGTTACAAATAATAGTTTTTTTAACACTAAGACTTTTTTTGTCTTGCATTTTAACATCTGTAAAATCAAGACATATCTTAGACTCACATTTGATCAGGCAGCCACTGTGATGTAGTTGTAATGTTACAGTGTATGTACACTTGATCAAATTTTCAGTTTCACCTTGTGTGTATGTTTATAGCTGTGTGTGTTCATGTACACGTGTGTACTTAGCTGATGTTGCACTTGAGTTGACTTGCGCTTTCAAATGTTTTTTTTAAATAATTTACACTACGATTTGCCACTGAAAAGAAAGTTATTATGTATACAGTGCTCTACAACATATGATAACATCTATACCTTAGTAAGTCTAAAATAGCTCTTTCAATATGTATAAAATTAAAAATTCTAAATGAATAGAAAAAATTGTGTCATAGTTGAATTGGCAGTATTCTGATCTTTTCTTATAATACACAAAATAACAGCATCTCAGAATCAAAGATGCCCTACTTTCTCTGAAATAAGGTATTAACAACAGTTTGGAACACTAATCTAAAAAGGAGTTCATTTTTTAAAAGATGTCTTTGAGAAGAGACTCTTAAAGATCAATTTCCTTCAAAGATACACTTTTATTGAATGAGGCCTACACCAGAGAGTTGCCAAAGGTTCCTTATTTTGGGGGACTGGGATAGCTATAACATTTGGAAGTATGCCCAAAAAAGGGAATGGTCTTAAAATTATGGTTGGTCTCCATGTTCTACATTTTTACAACTATATGACCCTTAAAGTTAATTTTAGCCACAGGATGGCTTCTCCACTTTCATAACATCCTCTGATAAAGCAATATTGTATTAAATTGTTCCCTTCTGGAAAACATAGTAAAAGTACTCTACACATCATCGAAATTATTAATACAAACCTGTTCAACTATATTTTCAGTGAAAATCTTTGAATAATCCCGGTTTATATACTTTTCCTTCCAGTCCTACCAAAAAAAATCATTTGCATGGATTAAAGCAAATACTTTTTAATAATAGAAATTTAATAAATAATACACATTTTAGAAATTGTCAATTTATAAGTGACTATGTGTACTGGACAAAAAAGGAATTTTCATAAACCACAGTGTATGCTTTTTAAACTCTGACTCTGTACATGTTCACATCATTCAATATAACATGACATTTTTATGTTTTAGAACTCAAGATTTTAAAATTTGAATAATCTTATAACAATTAGATTTGCATGCTGCATTCTATGCATAAACATAGGGATAGGTAAATATGGGCTTAAAAGTTAATGATAAAGAGCAAAATCCTAACAAATACTAGTAAAAATAAGCAAATTAATCAACTAGGGTCTTATTCATCTATACAGGACTTTAATAGTAAATTACTCCAAAATAGTTTTGATATTTTAAAATGTATTTAAATTTTCTTCACTTCAGTTTTTACTATGTAGTAACAAAGAATGATCATGGGTTACTAATTCTTTCATTTCTTCTAGTTACTGAAATTAAGGTATAGAACCATACATTAAGAAATAGCTCGTCTCTATGCTAATTCATGAAACCTAATTTTTCTTTGACTAATCTCTGATACGTAAACCACATACTAAGATATCTCAATTTTTGTCAATATCGGCTAAGGAATTCTCTTACTGAGTCAAGTGTTTTATTTAAAAATCACATATTTAAAGGGTATAAATGAAAATGTGGAGTGATTTAGTATCAAAAAAAATCTCTTCTAAAATGTATTTAGACAAGTTTAACAAAATTCTTAATTTTCTCTTTACAAAGTATAAATATAGGGAACCAGAAAAGAAGACTTGCGGTATAGACTCAAAATAATTCCAATCAAAATATGTTTCAACAAATATTTGTCTGGAAATATCCTTTGAGGCCACATTTCAGAGAAGCCCTGATAATGTGTATGTCATTCTTAGATTTTGCACATCTCTGCTTATATATAGATACGAAAGAACCAGCTATCTTCAAATCCTTTAATAAATTTCATTTATACATAGTATATAATTATAAGAATCAAATTACTCTATCATCTCATTAATCCCTTCAATATTGATTAGTTCTCTGATTTCAAAATATGGAGGAAATTAGAAAGAAATAATTATATTTTTTCAAAATCTTTACATATTTTTATGCATCAATACTAAATTTTAAAGAAAAATATCCCTAAGATCTTACATTAAGGCATTAATGTCTCATTTTAGGTAACCTTTCAATTATCATTTAACAAATTCTTACTTTAGTAATTTCTTAGAAATTCTGAAAATGGGACAGTGGTCAAATATTCTGCTATGGGACATCCCTCATGAGGCTAATTTATCTAAAACAAAACAAAGCCATGGAAAGAAAAGCAGTTCCAACTTACTTCTGATGTTTCCATTTCATATTCTCCAGTTATGAATTCTGACACAAATGTCTACAATTCAGGATATAATTTGGGACATTTTTTTCAGGAGCTAATATTACCTAACAAATAAAATAATTCTATTCCTCAAAATAACCAAGAGACTCAGTGCCAAAGTAAAATGTATGATTCCACTCTCACTGTTTAAAAAGCCTCTCTTTAATTATACTCTTGTGAAAGATGAAGAGATGTAGCTTAAATGTAACAAAAATACTTTTAAAATACAAAAATGTGAAAAGATATTCTTTTTCTATTCCACAAAATCTTCAGAGACTTTGAATTTACTCTCCCTGGATGTCAACTACTCCTACAAAATAAAAGACAATTCTGATCAGGTAGATTCAGTCTTTTAATTTAAAACTTTTACCATTGGCAAGAGGAAAGCTGTAAACAGTAGCATTTCAGAGATGAATGCTAAAGAGGGTATTTTTCCTAGAACAAATGTTCCAATTAGACTGAATAGACTCCAGCAAGACAAAAAAAGGAATGAATTCCTTTATGATTCAAATCTTGAAGCTAAGAAATAATTTTAGAGTTTAGAAGGAAATAGTTTCCTCAACTTAAGACTTTCTAGATACGCTGAATCCACTTACTCTGCAGTTTTCTCTGGCTGTCTTTGGTGTACATTCAAAAAATTGTTATAAAAAATAAGTAAGATAATATAAAATGTATTTTCCCAATCTAACTTCTTGAATTATCTTCTTTAAAAAATTTTTTTTTATGTTTTATTTATTTCTGAGAGAGAGACACACAGCATGAGCAGGAGAGGGTCAGAGAGAGAGGGAGAGACAGAATCCGAAACAGGCTCCTGGCTCGGAGCTAGCGGTCAGCACAGAGCATGACATGGGGCTCGAACCCACCAACCTTGAGATCATGACCTAAGCCGAAGTCGGACGTTTAACTGACTGAGCCACCCAGGCACCCCTTGAATTCTCTTCTTAAAAATCAAAATATAACATTGTCATAAGGGAGCTACTTGTAAACAGTTTTTCTGAAATTACAATAAAAAATTTGATGATGCTTTTGAATATATAAAAGAGAAACATTAAGAGAAACTGATAATTCCTTTCTCCATACCTAATATATGTCTATATTTTTAAAATTCTTGGTAAGGAAATATAATCAATTGTAGCTTTTAAAAAAATACTTAATATTATATTAAATTATTATAATTAATATACCAATTATAATTAATATTGTTATAATATTTTTAAAAGGTAAAACCGATATATTTTTAAACTTTTTTAACTTTAACTTTTTAAAAGCCTCATCACATTTTCTTGTTATTAACCCAACTGATTTACATCCAAAAATAAGAAATAAATGAAGTTGAGCATGAAATACATACCACAGGATTTTCAAAAATCTGCCAGAGGTCATTGTTATAATGGGAAGTATTGTAATTAGCAGTTGATAAAAGTCTTCCAAATTCATGTCTATTAGAAATGTACATAAACACACCCTATGTGCCAAAGAATAACACTATTAACAATCATAGAGGAAAGTACAAGAAAATAAACTTAACCATAGGAAATATATATGAGATATTAATTTCAACTTTTATATCTCATTCCTGAACATGCATTTTATTTTTCACGTAAAACATGCATGATTTAAAGTAAAAGAAATAAAATGTTTATTAATTATGAATTCAGGCACCACACAAAACTAATTGATAGCACTGACACTCAACTGAAAAAAAGAAGAGGAAGAATGACTGTTTTTGTCCCTTTCTCATTGATCCTAGATGTAGACATCAGGGGAAAAAAGTCCTGTTTGAAAGCAGAAATATTTTTGAGACACCAAGTGCAATGAATTGTACCTCTTTTGGCTTCTTTCCCTTTCAAAGAAGACGTCACATTTTAAACAAGAATTCAAATGTCAATATTTTTACATCAGACTATGTCATTCTCTTTCATCCTGATGTTTAAAAACTGAACACAGAAATTACTTATTCATTAAAGGCAGTTAAAGAAAATCAGTCTCGTTTCCTTGCCTTAAACCAAATAAATGTGGCAAAAACCACTATGGTAAGGCTGTTTCTTTTTGTACCTGTTTTAATGGTAAAAAGGTTAGTTATTAATAAAAAAAATAATGAAGGGTACCCAGATCTCATTTTAATCAAAATGTACTTCTTACTTACTCCTACTTCTTCTCTCCCTTTAAAAAAACAAAACTAGAAAAACCAGTGAAAGAGATTTCGGTTTAACTTTCTCATCTGTCAACCATAAAATGTATATCAGCCTAAAGAACTAAGAGTTGAATATCATACAATGCCCATCCTCAACACACAAAACATATACACACACACACCAATTAAGAACCAATGAATACCAACATTTTACCATGCTAAATGGAAAGAAGACTGTTAAAGAAAGTCTTACTGTTAGGCAATATACCATATCTAGTATTAATTAAATAAACAAAAATAAATAAAAATAAATAAAAATAACACCTTTGGGGGGCTGAGCATTTGGAATGTTTCCGGAGTAGGGGAGTCTTTTTCCCTTTGTAAAGTCTAAAATGAAGAGAAGCATTGCGTAAGTTGACCCGCACACCCATACTCTCTCAGGTATTCTTAGGTAAATAAAATTAGCAGCCCTTGATCAAAAGCTGACATTCAGAAATGTCCTTCATAGACAACATGCATAACAAGCAAAGCTTAGAGTGCACACAAAGAAACAACTCCAGCCCTTTCTTTTTTTTTTTTTTTTGGTCAAACATAAATCCAAGCTCATTCCTTAGTAGAATTTTCATTAGACACAAAATTAAGACAAAGGAAAAAATGTGTAAGACAGGCCATTCCAGGATGCGCTGTTGAGTCAAATTAGCAGAAGATGAGCACAAATTACAATCACAAGTACTGAAGATACATACTCAATATAACAATGCACATAGGTCTGTAGGAAAAACAAATACACTCCAACAATACATGCCTTATTAAACTAGAAAAAAATACTTGCCAACTTTTCTGATTTTTCCCCAAATCACATTTGTATATATAAATTTGAATAAAATAACCCAATCATTTCTAAAACAAAACTATACAGATACGTTTGTTTTAAAACATTTACACATTTTGAAAAACAAACTGTTTTCTATGATCATTGAAATTTTACAGTGAACGTATACCTGTAGAACAGCAATGTATCATTATTCTTCACATAGATTAAATACACTTCATATCCCAATCCTTCTCCCAGTTTAGTGGTGAGGAATGGCTTTTGAGCAGTGTGCAGGTTATAACAATAGAGAGAATAATGGAGACATTGATTTCAGGACAAAAACAAAAGTGTGTTCTTCTTAAATGTGTAAATGATGTTTCATCCAGACTTTATCTAATCAATTTAATTAGATCAGGTCTCCACTATAAAATTTCAAATGAAAGTAAACACGAGTTCTTAAAAATGCAAAGCTAATTTGTAACAAGTCAGCTGAAATCTTTCTAAGTTAGCCTAAGCACCAAACCGAACATTTTTCAAACTGTTTCTACAGATAAATGTTCACTAATTATGCTTTATAACTGCTCCCCATTTTTCAATACAGAACCAAAAAAATTGGCTAGTACTTACAAATTAGAAAGAAAAGGAGCATCAAAACACATTGACACATGAACTGGTAAAGCAAGCCATTTTATAAGAACATTCGAGCACGCCAACATTGCATACCCTACCATTTCTCTAGCGTTCCGGCACAGAGCCATATCAGGATCCAATTTATCACGAACAAAGTAGTTCCTTTCATTCATCTCTGATCGAAGCGTCTTTCCCTTAATTAAGTACACATTAGCCATGTATGGGACATTCCATATCCCTCTGAAAGTAAAGACAAGACATTCCAAAATACCAGAAATAAAAAAAATACTTAAAGGTTTATTTTTATGTTTTTAAAATAAATGCCCTGTATGCTTTTAAATTTTGTGTATATAAATTATTGAATCAAATTACATGCAAATGCAAACACATTTTATGATATTTAAAATACTTTTACACACATCTATGATATTACTTGTGACACACTACAATTTTTATATGATAAATCATCATTTCCCTATATAAACTACATTTTAAGGCCTGTTATCTGTTAAGCATTTTGACTATAATCCTTCACTTCATTATTCTAGTTGGAGTATAACACAGAAAGTATTTCCAGTTAGGATCAAGCAGATTGATGGCAAAAATAATCACATACACCCTGTGATATACTACAACTAGCTCACACTGGCTCCCAGAGCACATAGCTTCACTTCCCAAGTCTGTACTCAGTGACTTCATGTTGGAAGCTTGAAATGAGCCATAGCAGGGACATTTACACCACAGAAATTGTTGAACACTGCAAATCAGAGCATCCCTCAACCCCCAAGATGCAATTGTTAGACATCTACCTGCACACCCCTGAATACAACCTATAAGTTTCCTAAAAATTTCCTTGAAATTCACTAAGTCATCTCAAATTTCTATAAAGAGAGAAGACATAATAAAAATATAGCTAGAAGTACATGAGTGTTGAGAGACACTATTTTGTCCTTTATTCTTCCTCACATTTGTCTTTTCATTCTGAACATGACTCATTTCCTAAGAACAGCAAGTAAGGTTTCACCTGAAGGCATATTTCTGTTGCTTTTAGAGAACAAAAAAAAAGATCTTTACCAAGGAAATGTAGTTAGGTATTAAAAGGAATATGATTTCATTTTGTCTTGCTCGATGAGCCTCAAAGGAAATAGCCATAAAAATATACAATGTGTCATCTGATTTCAGAAATTTATCACTGGCAGAGTAGGCAGTGTCTCAGTTTTGAAGAAATACACACACACACACACACACACACACCCTTACACGTGTGCATGTCATAAGATGTCATTCCTTCATGTAGCTTTTGGACATGAAGTACATTCTTGTATTAACTAGATCAAAAGCCTCTCCCATATTCCTTTCCTTACATTTTAAACAGTGACAGGAAGCTGCACAAAATATCACCAGTGCCTAAAGCAACTTAAATGAAACAAATTCTCTATTCTGCTTCTGAGAACCCTTATTTCTGCTAACCGACAGATAGTATCAGGCATTTGGCCTATACAAATCATCACAGAGACCAGATAAGTACTTTGAAACAACAATATATGATCTGAATAGTGTTTTTTTCAGCTATCATGCTCCTTAACTGCAGCTAACAAAATCTTTGATCACATTTATATCATTCAAATTTACTATTACTATTTTTGTAAGCAAAACATCTTTTTTAATACTCAACTGTTCAACAGTAAGTGTGTGAGGGCTCTTTACTCTAAATTTAGGAGCACATATCTTTAGTCATGAAAGAATGGTTTCCCTTTTAATTGGGCTGATGCATCTAAGAAATTAGGCAAAGACCTTAACTTCTCAGTTAATATGGACTTTGGTCCATCATCTGTAGAAAAAATAAAGGATAACATCCCTCTGTATATTACCTTAGCAAAAACACACTATTCCAATTGTAATAACTTTTTAGTCTAAAAAATACCAACTGTTGTCCCTGAAACAAATATCAATCAGGCACACACTTCATAGCAAGCATATTCTTTTCAAACTCTAGAAATGGAAATCAGGTGTTGGTGAAGAAAGTGATCAGTAAAGCAGAATATTACCTATTTCACACAAAACTCTTGCCATAGGAAATGTTGGGAAGTTATGGCCTTTGGTATTGTTTTTGTTGGTTTACTTGTAAATTTGAAAAGCTATCAAAAAAACTTTCATCCTGGCTGCTAGAAAAATTAGCTAAACTACATTCCTTTTCTAAACTTCTAACTAAATCATACTACTCCTCTGACAGTCATCTTCTGGTTTCCCCTGCCAGCCATGTAGTATCTCCAATATTTCCCACAGCAGTAACTTTGTTCCTGTAAAAATTTAGAACTTCAAAAACAGAATCTTTTAATATTAGTTTTACCGTAGTGTTTCAGGATCCCAAGTGGTCTCTAGGTTTTCAATTTCCCATTAATCATAAAGAAAAGAGGAATAAAAATTCCGGTGATGGTAACAAGATCACATTTTGAGATCATGGCACTTTACAGAGTAGATCAAGTAACTTACACTCTATTCCCTTGCACAATATCCACATAATCTTCTGATCGAGCATAGTATCCATCAGGACTCAAAGCTCCCCAGAAGTTGGACCACAGCTTTCCATGGCGAGTTACAAGAGGAGCAATTATCTTTCTAAAGACAGTGAGAGAGAAAAGCAAATCCAAGAAATTATTTATACTTAAGTTACCACGAAATTGTGTCTTGGGCTTAGCATGACACCTAAAATACTAAAGTTCATTTAATACACACGTAGTTAGTCCAAAACACCGAATTCTACTCCTGAAGCCAATTGCACTGTATGTTAACTAAAAATTAAATAAAAATAAATACATAAGAAGTGAAGAAAAAAGTAAAATAAAAGAAAAACAAGAATTTCTTTCCACTTTTTCTTAAACACACTGATTTTCAATGTTTCTTAAAATGAGTAACAAAAAAAAGAAAAATTGAAAATGCTAATGAAAGTATAAAGATGACTTTTAAAATAAGTCAAACTACTTCAATTATTTATCTATGTTAATTATTTCAGAAACTATGCTAAATGAAATCAAATATTTTCACTGTCATTGAGAAGACATAATAGTCCTTGGTGCATTGAATTATTCCATAAATATTTGTTGACCAAAAAAATGAATAAAGATGAGCTGAGATTTTTATAAATATGCCAGTTTTCCCAATGTTAAGTCCTGAATCACTTTAAAGTATGTTTCCTTTTTTTTTTTTCTTTTTTTTTTTGCAATTTTTAAAATGGGTTGTGCTAGCCCTGGCAACACTGAACATTCTTCTGGTCCTTCAACTACTGTAAAAAACAAAATAGATGGTAATTGCCATAGCACTCTATCTGACTACCTACCAGGAAAGTAGTCCTTCTGAGAAAACCACATGTTACAAATTCAAAATATGTCATATTTTTCTTAGGAAAATCTAATTTATGATGTGTCAACACTTTCCAAATGAGGTAACAAAATCCAAAGTTCCTCTAGAATTACTTTGAAAATGAAATGAACTAGAGTAGTATAAATTCTTTTAAGTTTATTTATTTTGAGAGATAGAGAGATTATGCACAAATGGGAAGGGCAGAGAGAAATAGAGAGAGAATCCCAAACAGGCTTTGCACCATCAGTCCAGAGCCCAATGTGGGGCTCTGTTTCAAGAAATGTGAGATCGTGACCTGAGCCAAAAAACCAAGGGTCAGTTGGATGCTTAACTGACAGAGATACCCAGGCACCTCTGGTGGTGTCAGTTTTTAAGAAAATCTTATACATCTTTATCCATTCAACAGGTAATGAATATTTGGATTCTCTCCATAATTTGGCTATTGTTGATAATGCTGCTCTAAACATTGTGCTGCATGTACCCCTTCAAATCTGTATTTTTGTGTCCTTTGGTTAAATAACTAATAGTGCAATTGCTTGATCATAGAGTAGTTTTACTTTTAGTTTATTTAGGAATCTCCATACTGTTCTCCAGAGTGGCTGTACCAGTTTGCATTCCCACCAACAGTGTAAGAGGGTTCCCTTTTCTCCACATCCTTGCCAACACCTATTATTTCTTGTGTTACTGATTTTAGTCATTCTGACAGGTGAGAGGTGATTTTGATTTGTTTTTGTGGTTTTGATTTGTATTTCCCTGATGATGAATGATGCTGAGTATCTTCCTCTGTCTGTTAGCCATCTGGATGTCTTCTTTGGAAAAGTGTCTATTCATGTCTCCTGCCCATTTCTTAACTGGGTTGTTTGTTACTTGGGTCCTTAGTTTGATAAGTTCTTTATAGATTTTGGACACTAACCCTTTATCAGGTTTGTCATTTGCAAATATCTTCTTCCATTCCATAGGCGACCTTTTAGTTTTGGTGGTTGTTTCCTTTACTGTGCAGAAGCTTTTTATCATGATGAGGTTCCAATAGGTCATGTTTGCTTTTGTTTGTCTCACCTTTGGCAACATGTCTAGTAAGAAGTTACTGTGGCCAAGGTCAAAGAAGTTGCCAGCTGTGTTCTCCTCTAGGATTTGATGGTTTCCTGTCTCACATTTAGGTCTTTCATAATGCATTTTGCATTTATTTTTGTGTATGGTGTGAGAATGGAATATTACTGGGGCACCTGTGTGTCTCAGTTGGCTAAGCATCTGACTCTTGATTCCAGCTCAGGTCATGATTTCACACTTCGTGAGATCGAGCCCTGTGTCAGGCTCTGAGTTGACAGCAAGGAACCTACTTGAAATTGTCTCCCTCTCTCTCTACCTCTCCCCTGCTTATGCTTTCTCTCCCTCTCAAAATAAATAAACTTAAAATATATTTAAAATTTAAAAAAAAGATTGGAATATTACTCAACCATCAAATAATGAAACCTTGGCATTTGCAATGATAGGGACAGAGCTAGAATGTATTGTGCTCAGTGAAGAGTCATAGAAAGACAAATAACATATGATTTCACTCATATGTAGAATTTAAGAAACAAAACAGATAAACATATGGGAAGGTAGGAGTAAAAGAAGACAGAAGCTACCAACCATTTAATGATGGAGAACCACTGATGGGCTGACAGAGTGAAGTGGCTGGGAAATGGGCTACATGGGTGATGGGTACCAAGGAGGGCACTTGTTGGGATAAGCACTGGGTGTTGTGTGTGAGTGATGAATCACTAAATTCTACACCTGAAACCAATATTGCACTTTATGTTAACTAACTAAAATTTAAATTAAAAAAAAAAAAACCTCACACAACTCCTCCATGAGGAAGTTTATGAACCAGGTATTCTCAACAAAAAATCTACTTCATAACACTCCAGTCTTGAGAAGATTAGATGTGCCCTTTCTCTTACCCACAGAAAAGTGAAACACAGTCTGTAAATATCATGCAAAACGGTTATTTTGGTTTATTTTTTCTGGTTCCTTTTAAAATGAAATGTTACCCAGAAACACTTATATTCTGTTTTGTTTAGAATATCTACAATATTAGAAATGAAAATATAAATTAGCATCTATATATTATGTTGATTTAAGAAATAATTCGATGTTAAAAAAAGAAATAATTCAACGGTAATATCTGACAAGATCAAATATATACTAAAAAAGAAATCTTACAATTTATAATCCCAGCTGCCTTCCAAAGAAGGCTGGGCAAAGAAATGGAAATCAAACTCAGTCTGCAGTGTCCCTCAAAATTTTTGAGTACTGAAATATAGTAGGACCCCTTATCCGTGGTTTCAACTACTCGGAGTCAACCATAGTCAAGAAGCATATGATGCTCCTTATAATGAGTCATCATTCACCTCACTTCATCTTATCCACCAGCATTTTACCATCTCACACCAGGGTGAGTGCAGAACAGGAAGATATTTTGAGAGCAAGACCACATTCACATATTTTATTTTTATTTTATTACAGTATTCTGTTATAATTATTCTATTTTATGACTGTCATTAATCTCTTACTGTGACTAATTTAGAAATTAAACTTTAACATAGGCATGTATATATAGGAAAAAACCACAGTGTGTATAGTGTCCATCACTATCGGTGGTTTCAGGCATCCACTGGGTGTCCTGGAACATCTCCCCTGTGGATAAGGGGGACTCTGGTATCAGGACAGACAGCAGATGGGGGAATTTGGAGCAAGGCAGTAAACAGCAGAGATAGGACGAGGAGAGGGAAAAGAGAGCTGATGAGATAATAGAAAGCCACATGTCCTAAGATGTGACCCATCCCCTGTCCCTCTAACCTTCAGTCAAGTCTACTAAATCACACTTTTGTTATACATAAATTCTTTCTGAAAATTACATGTTTGGATACAGGAGCAAGAACCATAAATATCATACAAACCAAAACCTTTGATCACTAACAGAAATTTATGGAATTGGAGAAATATCCTGAGTTTTACTAGCACTTCAAAAATAATGACCCCAGATGGCAGTTGAATTACTTATGAGGCAATTTTATTTATTACAGCTTGAAAACATTAGATTAATATTAAAGAGGATATATGTTAAATCCATAGTATGAATTCATTAAATAGTTCACTAAAAGAATAGTAAGTACCTGCAAAAGTGTCATATAGTAAAAACACACAAAGATTATTTTTAAAATGTGCATTCAAGAGAACATTACTAAATTCCACTAGGTTTTAAGAGTTACAAATTACAACTCTACCTCTTATCTCTAGGATAGTCTAAATGTTTTTCCTTGCCTAATGATCAAATCCTTATTCATATGTTTTGAAAAATTACTTGTAACTTACAGATTCCAGTCTTAAATAGATAAGCATCTATTGCTAGATATATAGAGGGATGTATATACAATAAATACTAAGAGGTCTTGGATTTTGAAGTAATAACTAAATTCTCAAATTGCCAAATTATATTACATATAGAGTAGGTTAGAATAGCACAAAAGATTTCTCATATATTTTACTCAGCAAAATAAAAACAGTAATTCTAACATTTCACTGTTATTATTCTCTTATCTATTTGCTAAGAGAAATAATTGTGTTGATATATATAAAAATACTTAGAAACAATACTGGTCACTTCATAAGCACTTATTAAAGGTATGCTATTAGTAGGAGGATTAATAAACTACTAATAGCAATAGGAGTAATATAACAAATAACTATTAATATCATTATAAGCTGGTATAGATGGTGTCTTCTTCACACTTCAATTCAGTTAAATAAAAACAGGTACTGCTAAGTAATAATTATTAGTTCAGTACTAAATAAAATCTTAGATCTCTGAATTTATTTTTTCAAATTCTAAGAAATTAGATATCTGCAATAGCTTTTTTAAAAGGTTATAAGTTTTATGAAATTCTAATTTAAAAATTCCTACAGAGAAATTAAAAATGCCAAATTTCACAGATATATCATAATTCCATCTAGTTTTAAGCAGAAACATAGAACTATAACTGATAAACATTGCATTTGTGATCTTAACTAATACTAAATACTTCCAATTTTCATCAGGTTGTTTTCTTTTTTACTCCTTTAAAAGAAAACTAAATCAGAACTGAAAGTTTGTAAGGTGTAGAAAAGAACTTCATGTGACTCCCTTCAATTCATTAAACACAGATAAGTAAGTATAGTGTGTCCACATAGACATAGAAAATGATTATCATTTTAAAAGCAAATTGACAATCTTATGTAGTACCTGTTTTGTTCAATCAAAATTTTTAAGGTCCTTGGATTTGTCAAAACAACATCTGCATCCATACTGAAATAATAATCACAGTTTTCATCCTGACGGCAAAAATCCCTGACATTGGAAAAGAAATAATAATTAGATAAAACATATTTGCTGGCTGAAAATGTCAACATAACGCTTATTTATAAAATAACCTTTCACATATTTTTCTAATGAAAATAGTAGAAAATATCCAAAGGGATAAATATTGTCTTAAATTTCAAAATACTCAGTTTGTCAACATAGATATTCATATGGAAATCAACACCAAAAATATTAGGTTGAGTGAAATACATTTTCAAGCCACTAAAATATTCAAAACATAAAATACCCAGTCAGAATGGCAGTTTAGAATTTAGTATTTACATCTCTCTGAAAAGGAAACATAATTTATCTCCACATATTTATCAACAACTTTTTTCACACATCAAAATGTTTTTTGCACGTGCACACACACACAACACAGTGCAAAATCTTGCTTATCCAACAAGTTAATTTTAAGTAAATTTGGAGATACAAAGATATAACTCTTCAGGTATTAATACTTTTAAAATTTGATTTCCATGGAATTCTAAGATATCTACTCCCCTGCTTCTTATCAGGAATCACAGACTATGAAACATGTTCTTTTTGGTCAAGTCTATAGCATTATCATCCGGAACAAAGAAGGAGCTACCTGTGATATATGTGAAATGCTCCCAAGTATTTATTATGGTTTCTACATTTGGGGCTCTCTGCTTTTGAGCACCCCTCCCTCCCTGCTGATCCTAGCCCTCACTTTCTGCTATTGTCAGTATGTATCCCTATACCACATTTGTTTCTAAGCACCTGTCATACAGGGCAGCAGACTTTTGAAACTTTGCTACCATTGTGCAAAAAATTAGAGGAAATTTTCTTTAAATTTTATAACTATGTATAGTGACAGATGGTAACTACAGACCTATTGTGGTGATCATTTCACAATATGTACAAATATTGAATCATTGTATAGTATATCTAATGCTAATATATGTGAATTATATCTCAATTAAATAAATGAAACAAATAAAAATAAAATAACTAAAATTATTTTGGAAAAGAAGTGAAGGAATTATACTACTTGATTTCAAGATTAATATAAATCCCTGGTAATAAAGCATGGCATTCGTCTAAGATCAATGAAACGGAATAAAGGGTTCACAATCACTCATAAATATTCGGCTAATCAATTTTTGACCAAAGCCAAGTCAATTGAATAGGAAAGGAAAAGTCTTAAACTAAAAAAGAGTGCTGAAACAACTGGACTTCCATTTGTAAAGAGTAAAATTTGACCCCTACCTCACTCCACACACAAAATATATTCAGGATGAACTATAGATTGAAACATCTTAAACATAAATGCTAGAGCAACAAAGCTTATAAAAGAAAAATTCCAAAGAGTATTTTCATGATATTGGAACAAGAAAGACTTCTTAAATAGAAAATAAACTCAATAAGCACAAAGCATAAAAGAAAAAAAGAGAGAAATGGAATTTTATTAAAATTCACATTTCTTCTATTCAAAAGACAGCATTAAGAAAGTAAAAGATCAAGCCACAAAATGAAACACATTCACAAAAATCACACATACACACACACACACACACACACACCCTTCCTTTACACAGATTATATAATAAACTCCTACAAATCAACAACAAAAAAGACAACCCAATATAAATGAAAATGCACAAAAGACTTAAATAGATAAGCCACAAATGAAAACATGAATTAGTGGTTAGGGAATTAAATTACAATTACAATAAGATATACAATAAAGTATACACAAAAAAGTGGCTAAAATAAAAAAGATGGGCAACATCACCTGTTGGCAAACGTGGAGCAGCCAGAGGTCTGTTGCACTGCTGCCAGGTGTGTATGATGGTACAACTGTCTTGGAGGTTTGGCAGTATCTTATAAAATTAAACATACATCTACTCTAACCCTATGCCCAAGTTAGTCTATGCCTTCATATTTTCCTCAAATATACTCCAGCAAAATATGTCCACAGACATACATATACACTTCTAATAAGGAATCTTCATTAACAATCTTATTCATGGGGCACCTGGGTGGCTCAGTCGGTTAAGCATCCGACTTCAGCTCAGGTCATGATCTCACTACTCATGGGTTCAAGCCCCGCATCAGGCTCTGTGCTGACAGCTTGCTCAGAGCCTGGAGCCTGCTCTGGATTCTGTGTCTCCCTCTCTTCCTGACCGTCCTCTGCTCACGCTGTCTCTATCTCTGTCTCTCAAAAGTAAATAAAAACATTTTAAAAAATTAAAAAAAAAAAAAAAACCAGTCTTATTCAAACAGCTCTAAACTGGACATGACCTATGTCTATCAGCAAGCAAGTGTAAAATGCACTTGTGGTATATTCATATGATAGAGTATTAGTCAGTGATGAAAAGGAATGAACTGTTGATAACTACAATGACATGAGTGAATGAGAAAACACCGTGTCTTAGCCAAAGATACCAGACTCAAAAGAGTATATTAAAAAAAAATAGAAGAAATAAGTTCTGAATGTGGATCCAAGGTGTTCTCCAATGAATAAATTATGGAACCATTAGTTTGGTCCTTCTGAGGCCTGTCTGCCTGCCTAACCCTTTACTCTGACATCAGGCACTGCCTAGCACTCTGAGCCCTGAGCTGCCACAACATAAGATGAGAAATCACCAGGACTTACTGACCTTTTTCTCAGCAGCACTTAACCCACTGCTGGCACATCCAATTAACATTCATGGAGAAATAACTGTTTTTATTATTATCAGAATTTTACTAGTAATCTATCTGCAGTATTAAAGGGGCTAAACACAGGACTGAAAAAACTTCCTCTGAGGGTTATAGTATTATCTAGATCAGTCAATGACTAGAAAGGAGGAATTCCCTTTGCACAGTCTGAAACACATTTTCACCACGCACAACCTTCACAGTCAACATCTAAATCACTGCGGTATCAGTCATACTATTCACTTGTCTGAATAGTTTATTTCTTATTTTAAGTAATCTCTACCCCCAAAGTGGGGCTCTAATTTATGACCCAGAGATCAGGAGTCACATACTCTTCTGACTGATACAGCCCCTGTCTGAGTATTTTTCAATAAATTTTAAAAATCTTGAGCTAAAGTTCGGATAATAGCCTAACTAAATATGTTGACCCTTATCCATAACATATATTTCCATCTCTATATATATAATTTCCATTGGCTTTTACATGTAAATACAAACACAGATATAGTCTAACAGTTGAGGTGTGCTCATACGCATACCCAGACAGACATGCACACATATACAGTCGAGACAATCCAAGTTTAGGGTACTAGTTTTGAAGAAAAGTTGTTTTTCCTTAAATTCCTTTAGTAGAAATTGTTTAATTTAAATTGATTAAAACATACATTCCCATGTTTCTTGCTTCGGCTTGACTTAGATTTTCTTCTGGTCCTACTATTTTTATAGTACTGATTTCATGTTTAGCTTTATCAAAAAATACTTTGATGTCCTTTTCATGATAAACTTCCTGTAACATATTTTAAAAATACAAAATTAGTGCCAAAATGATGACAGGATGATGCAAGTGTTCATACATAGGGTTACATCACATTCAAAGTTCTGAATTCCACAATTCACATATTACCTCAATTATAGATGAAACGATAACCTATATTAAACATATTCAATTTAAATGTCACATGAAAAATCTAAAATAGATACATATCAAAATTTTTTCAATAGAAGATACTTCAAAATTCTTCTGACATCTACTCCTAGACTTGAATAAATAATTAAATGCTTTCTGCTATAAAATGCTTTCACTTGAAGGAATATCGTTTGTGGTCTCAGAATCTTAGACATGTGCTTTAAAATATCTATAAAAATGTCTATTAAACTTACTAGATTTTAATCTAGGTTATAAATACAATCATATTTTATAATATAAATATTATAGTACTCTTCAAAGCAGAGAGAAAAACTAATGGTCACATATAAAATTGTGTTTTTACAAAAAGAAAGTAAAGTTTAGCAAAATTATATCAATAAGGAAATATAGTAGGAAAATCATTAACATATAAGTCATAAAATTAGTGTGATTCAACTGTGCTAAAATTTAGATAAGATTATTTAACATAGATAATCCAATATTAGTACATTTCAGAGCTTTTTATGTCTCAAGTCGAAGTATTTTTTTTTTAAATGTTTTTTATTTATTTCTAGGAGAGAGAGAGAGAGAGAGCGTAAGCAGGGGAGGGTCAGAGAGAGAGGGAGCCACAGACTGAAACAGGCTCCAGGCTCTGAGCTGGCAGGCAGCACAGAGCCCGACGTGGGGCCCGAACCCACGAACCGCGAGATCATGACCCAAGCGAAAGTCGGACGCCCAACCGACCAAGCCACCCAGGCGCCCCTCAAGTCGAAGTATTCTTGAAAGCTTTTCACAGCTTATTAAAACTACTTATAAAGCATAAAAGCTACAGAGTTCATTTTATATATAAAAAAAAAAGGGAGAGGGACAAAATCCCCTGCCATCAAGGAGGTTCTACAAAAGGAAGAAGACCTAAATAAAAGACACAATATATAAAACTGAAACTATTTAATGTAAATAAATATTTTACAATGCACTTTACAGAGCAAATGCTCAATGATTCACCCTTTTAAACTTTTTTTCAGCTGGTTTTCTATGAATTTAAAATATTCCATGGAAAAGGCAAGTGATAAGCTGACATGAACATTAGAAAGAAAGAACAATTTTATACACCAAAAGCATTTGGACAAAAGGGAGCAAAAAATATACTTCGCAGCTATTGCATTTTTCTAGAAGATGTTAAGTGTCAATTGTTTTAATATGAAAGAGACAGATATATGGGAAAATTCTGAGAAAAAATGTCTTTAAGTTTAGATTACACGTGGGAGGTTTGGGGGAGGTTCTGTATATTTTTGGAGGAAATGACAGTATCAAAATCCTTTGGGGAAAAGCATGCCATTGTGGGATTAATCAAAACAATAATATATCTGGAAACTATATCAAGTTCTGATGCTATGGTATTAGCTTAAGCTGCAAACAATTTAATGACCATTTCCATAAAAAAATTGATTAAAACCCAAAGACAAGGAATACAAGGACCTTTGACATTTCTTTATGTGTATATTAAGTTGAGCCATATGAAAATAGCTGATATTCAACCATTTTTGATCTACAAAATTGAATTTCACATGGCTCATTCCAATATTATGATACTAGTTTCCAAATTCTAAAATCCTTAGGTTCAGGGCGCCTGGGTGGCTTACTCGGTAAAGCGTCTGACTTTGGCTCAGGTTATGATCTTAAGGTTCGTAGGTTTGAGCCCCGTGTCGGGCTCTGTGCTGACCGCTAACTCAGAACCTGGAGCCTGCTTCAGATTCTGTGTCTCCCTCTCTTTCCGACCCTCCCCTGCTCACTCTCTCTCTCTCTTTCTCTCTCTCTGAAATAAAAAAACATTTAAAAAAATAAAAAATTAAAAAAAATAAACTCCTTAGTGTCTACAAAAGCAGGACAGTAAATTACTTCAAAAATCTCCCGCTGAATTTATATAAATAATAACACATATTTTCAATGAAGATAAAGAATAATTTTCACATGAAATATTCATTGCTCAAATACTTACTTTGTTATGAATAAAGAGTTTAAGTGCTTCTTTTGGGTAATCCAGTGTCAACAATATGTCCAGAAATCGAGGTAGGAAAGGGGTTGGTTGTTCAATAAAAACTCCTATTGTTACATTTGGTTGGACCTTTGTTTTATGGCAAACATAAAAACAAATTTTTATTATTTTGGATTTATTCTTAATTCTATTTCAGTCTTAATACAACATAAAATATACTGGAAATATTTCAACATAATCTGCTAAATTTGAATTGATGATAATTCTCTAACACATAAAATACAATCTTATGGCCTCCATCAAAGTGAATTTACTCAATCATGTACTGACATTATGACTTAGGTTTGAAGAGGAAACTCACTATCCTATTTATTACATGGATGTAATAAAGGATATTGCCTACTCTCTTATTCAATGCGTCCTTTATGGTAGTCTTTAAATAAATGTCCTTCAGTTCTGAATCTGTTTTGACATCTTCATCTAAGGAGCCAGAATGCTGTGTTTCCCTTTTGGTTTCCATGGCTTGGAAGTCCCGCATCTAATTTGTAGCTCAAATAAAGCAACCATGGAGTTCTTCAGCCTTTATTTCTATCCTTGAATTTATTTCCTTTAATCTCATTTTATGGATAGTACTTTATTTTGCTTTGTTATCATACATAAGAAACCTACAGTTTACCTTGTTCTATTTTTATAGGTTTTCAAAAATCCTGTTTGGGTATGTATTATAGGATAGTTTATCTTTCATTCATTGAATGAAAACTTTTGAAACACTCATTATATTTGTCAGTTCTGGTGATAAACAACATTTAAGACAAAGAGTGAAAGTTCCTGTCTTGAAAAAGTTACAAATGGTTGGGGAAGACAGAAACATAAGTAAATGACCATATAATGATGTTACTACCAAACCTGTATGAAAGATTTCTTTGTAATGCCTTTTTTAAACATGTCTTGAAGAGCCTGGGTGGCTCAGTCTGTTGGGCATCTGACTTCGGCTCAGGTCATGATCTTACAGCTCATGAGTTCGAGCCCCATGTTGGGCTCTCTGCTGAAAGCTCAAAGCCTGGAGCATACTTTTGATTGGGTCTTCCTGTCTCTCTGCCCCTCCCCTGCTTGTGCTCTGTTTCTCTCTCTCTCTCCCTCTCTCTCTCAAAATATAAATAAGAATTTTAAAAAATTAAAAAATAAACGTGTCTTAAAACCTGAATTTGAGGATTAAAGATTTTTAGAAATATTATATATGTTAAGTGCTGAATGATGTACCTCCTTTCCCATCTTTTCACATATGATGCCTTGTATATTTCTATTATCTGGATTTTAACTTAGTATTTGTTTGCATTGAAATATACCTTGACCACTGTTGTACTTCTTTATCAATTCATTCACTCACCCAAATATTTATTATTGAATAAAAAAATCCAAACATCTAAAGACAAACTATCTACCCTCTGGGAGTTTTCAGTTTAATAGGGGAAATAAGTGAAAAGTAGATCACAATTCTCCATTATCAAATGAGATAATACATTACATTTACATTTCATAGTCACCTTAGAAGTTATTTATTATTCCAAATTTATATGTGGAAAATGGGATTTCAAGAAGTTAAGCAACTCAGAACACATAATTAGTAGGTAAAGAGCTGGGTTTCAACATGCTACAATTTCATTATCCATTTAAGTTTGCTTTATATACTAATGATAATACAACACTGACTGAAGGCTTAGCTCTGCATATGTATATATAATTTATACATATACATATCATTTATATATATGCATAAGGTTTCATTTAACCCTCCTTTTCTTTATATAGAAAAGAACTTGCCTATGGCCCATATCTAAGAATATGGTAGGCCTGAGATCTTAACTACCCACATAATTTTAAGTTTTATATCCTTATTGCATAATAACTATATACGTAAAACACATAAAAACTCTGTTTTGCAAAATATAATAGCTTTCCTTTCTGGCATTTTTTATCAGGCTATAAGACAAAACAGTTTAAGAAATAAGTGATTTACTCCTATATGCAAAAATAATAGTAATAAGAGAAAAAATCTTAAAGTAAATATTTTTCTATATTTACACCAGAAAGTTTATGTAAAAGGAGACCAAACAGATAAAAAGCATTAACCTTCCCTCCAAAGGACAACAGTACTTTCTGCAAAAAAGATCAGGTTGAATTTTTAAACATCATGATGCAGCTTCATTCAAAAATATTCTGGCATTCTTTCTAGATAGGAAACATTCAGTTTGTTATTTGAGAGACTGGCCAAAAAGTCTTATTTTCAAGGAAAGTAGGGCCCTATTCAGAAGCTCCTAAATGTGCACAAGTTACTCTTTGTCCTCCTTTCAGACAGTGATAAGCATAGAAACTATTTAAATTCAGGAGCTTTGGTTCTATACAGTGAAGAGTATTTTATATTTGCATAGATCCAGAAGTTGCCAGGACTCTATCACTGGGAATTTTAGTTTTGCTTATATTGGTTCTACTTATCTGGCATATTGTAGAGACTCAATAAACCTATGAGGAACAAAGGAAAGAGTCAGCCTTAATGACAAAATCATCTCAAGAATCCAACTGTTCATATATGTAATAACAGTCTTCCAAGTTACAAGAGCAGTTTTTGGAAGAAATATGTTACTATGGAATATACTAAAACTTTTCTGGTAGATGACAGAAGAAAGATGCATGAAAATGTTCTATAGATAAATATTATGTCTAATTGTTCCTTCTCCCTCAAACTATAAAAGAAACTACAGTTATAATTCTCTATGAAATATACCTATAAGTAGCACCATGTCTGGCATATAATATGTACATGACACCCAGGCAAAACTGCAGTGGTCAAGAATACAGGGTCTAGGGCCAGACGGCCTAAATTCAAATCCCATCTCCAATGCCTAAAAATATTGTGTGCCCTTAAGCAAGTTACTTAATCTGTATGTACCTCAGTTTTTCATTTGTAAAACTGAGTCAATAGTAATACCTACTTAAGAGTTTTTGTGAAGTTTAGTTGAATTATTTCATGCAAAATGCTTAATTCTTAATCATATAATCATGTCATTTTTTAAATCATCAAATTTGAAAATCAAGCGCAGATAATATTAGTCAACACAAATGCTGAAGCATTTCTTTCCTCAGTGCTTTAAGTTAGCAGACTAAAAACAAGAGCAGCCAATCATAACAAGCTTAATATTAAATATTAACAACCAAGTACCTTTTACTGGGATCAATTACTAGCCAGTTTTACTCTTAAAAACAGTTCACAAATATAAAAATGTAGTAATTTTCTGTGTCATCATGTTTTAGCCTTATAAATCCATTACCTACCATATTACCAAACTATAAAGTAATGTATTTTGGACAAATCAGTGCACTTCCTGACACTGTACTTTTTGTTTCTACATCTCACACATAGTAAATTCCACTCACATCTACTGTAGACAAGTCAATTGTATCCAAGTCACAAAGTGTGCAGCCATTATCCTGTGTCCATGCATTAGGTACATAGTTTCCAAAATAATTCAGGAGAATCTAGTAAATGAAGGAAAACTGTATTAAGGAAAGTAAGTCACTCTCATCAATGTGCTTTCATTCTATAAACATCTAACTTCGAAGTGGGTTTTCTGCATTAGGTATATTCTTTAATGATTCTACTAACATGTAAGACCTAGAGGTATACACTGAACTAAATTCTTTCCAGACAATGAGTCATAAAATCAGGGCAAACTTTGTGTAGAAATGCCAAAAAATGCATTATAAATCATAAAGGTCATTTTATTTCATTATGTAAGAAATAATACCAGATGAGACATGATTAAGAAATATGTAAATAATGAAAGAAAGTGATTTAATTGAGCTAATGAGACTTAGCAAAAACAACACTAATGAGAGCAGGCACATGAATAGTAACTTAGTAATAAGATAAATATGTTTAAAGGCCCAGTGCAGACACCTACGGTGAATGGGGCAGTGCCAGCCCCCATCGCCACTCAAAATATGTTTTATATATACTTTATCACCAAAAGCACTAACCTCTTCCAGGAAACTATGCCACCTACCATAAACTAGGCTTCTGGGCAGTGCTTCAGGAGCACTGACTTTGGGAAAAGAAAGTCTAAATTTAAAACAGATCTACAACAAGGGCCTAATTACTGCCACCCCACAAATCCTATTAGCAATAAATGAAGTACAATACTGCTTCCCTACTGCTACTCATTTCAGATCACTCAGAGCGTCTCCTTTGTAACTTATCTCCCTTGGTCCTTAGGCATCATTGGAGATCATTTCACCTGTAAAATCTGAGTCCCTTGTGTGTGTTTTGGGTGAAGAAGAAAGTGAGAGAAGGTAGATGGAGGAGACGCATAAACACATTAAAATATGTTCTGAGTCCTTGAACAAATCTTGAGTATCTCCAGAGTGTAAACATTTTAGGGAAAATTCTGCTGATTTACTTTAAAACTCAGCACACTTTTCTACTGCAATTGTAATTGTACCTGTAGTGGTATGAACATTTGTAGTTTTTATTTCTTTACTTCTTTTCACAAACTATTTCACCTCAAGACCGTGAAACTGTAGCAAACTAGTTTTAGGTGTGATTTTATACTACTATAAAAAGGAAGCACCTAAAACCCTCACTATGCTTTTATAATCATTAATTTTTCATTGGAAAAGGAGGCGAACTCAAAAGGGAAATGTGTCAATACATTAAATACAATGGTCAAAAATGTACAGAAGTGCCTACTGGATTTTTCTAGCTTCCTAAGTCCCTAAAAGATTTTATGGTACAGAAAAGATAGGTCATTAGTCTGGTACCATTTTACCAGATTTCTCTCAATTATTTGGGATGCCATCCAAAAATCTCTATTATACTAAAACAAATGTTGTTGAAACAATACAGTATTAATTGCAATGGAAAAATCTATGTATTATGCAGATATTGTAGATATAGTTACATTCAATTTGTGAATTACTATCTTAAGACTTGGGAAAGTAATTTATTCATGTCTCTTTTGAATTACATGATAATTCAGGAAACAAATTACAAGGCAGGAAACATGTACTTATGAAATCCATTAATGACATTTCAAGAGTCAATGTGGTCATTTTTATGTGCCTCTATGGCAAAAATTTTTTTTTTACTGTTGTCAAATTACAAATGCAAACATTAAGCATTCATATTCCATACAATAATGTGGTTTTGAAGGAAGAAAACAGATTCATGTGAAAATAGATCTTGTCCTAAGCATTATTTCTGAGAAAATTTTTAAAAACTGAAGGCTAGAGGAAAACATAACTTATTTAAAATGTCCCGGAAAAGAGTTTTTCTGTAAAGGGAGAAAAAAAATCCCTCACATAGTGGGCCATATTTAAAATTCCCATCTACGTGTAAAGACTGGCACTTTCCGCATCTCAGAAATCTCATAGAAATTAAATATTTATTTCATGAATTATTGATCAGTCTGTTAGAACCCTTATGTGAATATGAAAATGATCAATATCTTTTAAAAGGTTAGAGCATAAAAGGTATTACTTTTAGTTTTCAGAATTAAAACTTTTATTTTGTAACCTTTCCACTTTCTACTCCTTATCTCAATTTAATTTTCAGAGATAATTAAGATAATTTTAAAACATTACTCTTGACTGGAAACCTTTCTCTTTTGGATTGCTTACTACACAGGCAAAAATTATCCACCACCACCACCACCCTCCATTTACATCTGTTTTCTTCATTAAAATCTGCAGACATTTATGCTGGCAGCTTTGGAAAGTGCAGAAAACTGTTTCTGTAGTTAGGCTGTTCCAGGCAGTCCCCAGCTACTAGGTGGTAGTACTTTCCTGATCCTTCTTTCACAATATCAAAATGTTTCCAGAGATGATGTCATTTCATTGGCAGAGAAACTTTTCCAACCAAATCCTTTCTTTCTTTCATTTTCCCAAATCAACCAATTATTCAAGGTCATAGTGACCCAAGCATTTGTGTTTATATGTACAAAATTAACGTCCCTATTTTTATTGTAAATCAAATTAGTTTCAAAAATGCTTGTTTTCATGTGCAAATTAGGTGATCTGATCTTCTGTTCAAGTTTAGTTTGTATAAAACTACCACCAGTTTCATGATTACCTTAACAGGTATATTATTTGACATGTAAAAGAAAAGGTTAGGTGTTAAAGTAAGCATCGTTTAATGTGTTGCTAACAATAAATGAGCTTCAAGAATAAAAAGTATAGCTTCAAGCCAGAAATCATAGTTTCTGTCTAAAATCTTATTTATATTAGATTGTGCGTATCTAGCCAAGTGAGAAAATAATTATGTAGAATACAGAAATATATTTTAAATAAAATGTTACTTAAAAAACACAAAATTGTTTACATATCATTATGAAAATAAATGAAAAGTACAAATGCTCATAGATATAGATTGAAAGGACAAAAAAAAAAACCCCTGAAAGCAATCATGAATAAAACTATATCAAAGGATATAGAGATTATAATTGATTTTTTAAACTGCTTATAATTTAAAAATTATTCTTACTAAGAGCATGAGATTTAGAGAAAGTTTAATAACTTTGGTCTATAAACAAATTAAAAATAATTTATCATTTCCAGATTACGTGTACATTTTGAAATGAAAAAAATGGCTTAAACATTATCAGTTAGGTCATTATCATGGTTCAAAGCCACTGGCATTATAATCACTCCCTTAACTAAATAAAATAGTAACTAAAACAACCTTATAAAAATTCATACAAAATATCCTTTTGCCTGTTGTGACGGCTTAAAAAAAGTTTGTATCTAGAGAATAATCTGCTTTCTTTCCCCATTAGCCTGGACACAGGGAAAAATGTAACACATTCATGTGTCTCTAACTTTAACATAATATTATTAAATTAGGTATTAGCACTAACTAAATGCTTATTTATATAATCTTTTCTCAAATGTTTATGTTATCACAAGTATAATTTTTATAATAAAAAACTTGCTTCATTCTTTGTTGCCAAATAGAATTACAGGAAGGTAGACTAGACAGGATCATGTTAGAGAAAATATAATAGGATCATCACACTACTTGAAATGCCAGAAACTGTGACAGCCTGAACTGAGAATATTTCTTAGAAGACCTAAAACAGGTCTTTCTAAATGGACTAAGGATTAGGGCTCCTTTCTTATGAGAGGTCCTAAATTAGTCACTCTGTGAACCTTAGGCGGTACTACCCTGGGAATTCAGGAGAAACTGGTGATGACATCACAATCACTAAACATCAGGACTTGCCCACAAGAGCTGAATGCTTAGTGCCACTCCCCTCTTTAAAGACATTTACATTTGACTAAGAAAATTACCAAGAAGAAACAGCACCCTAAGTGGTTCTAAGAGATGTCTGGCTATATAAGCCCATGCCTAAACGGCACCAAGAATATCAGACAGAGGGCTAAAACAGACACTGTGAATATACACGTGTTACATAGGGCTTCATAGACAAAACTTGTCCATTTATCTGCTTAGGGAAAAGCTACAGGGACCCACATCAGTTTTATGACTTTTTTGCCCTGACAAAAAATAATCTGCCTTACCACTCCCAAGAATAATGCTAGGTCATTACACTGTAAACTCTGACATTTACTGAAAGGTTATTATATGCTAGACATGTGCTGGAGCCTGGGGAAACAAGAAGTTAACAGGATAGGTATGGTTTCTATAATACCTAGGCCAAAGGCCCAGTAAGTAAGAAAGACCAGGGGAAAAAAAGAGTAAATCCATCCCTGTCCAGCGTGTGGTATTAGATTGTGATGGACAAAGTTCCAAATATTATAGAAAGCATGCAGGAGACCTGAGGGGTAAAGACTAAGCTGACATCTAGAGGATGAAGAGGATTTAGTAGGTGGCTACAACAAGTGAGATTAGGGGCAAAGGATTCCAGGGTAAGTGAAATGTGGGTACAGAAGACATGCAGAAAGAGGAACTTACAAAGCTCAAAGGAATTCAGTATGGTAGGAGTGGGGGGGAGAGAAAGAGGGAGAGAATGAGTGAGTATGAGAAATGTTTGTGTGGATATTTGTAGTGTCAGGAGTAGGGGAGCAGATGAGACAATGGACTGGCGATCACTAAACCAGTAGTGAAATTTTAAAAGGAGCTTTACAAGGCAAGGTGAGAATTTGGATCTTCACACCTAAGTCCACATAGGGCATTATACAGGTGAGTGATGTGACTGGCTTTCTGCTTCAGCACAATGCCCTAGTTCTGGGCTCCTGGTGGGTGACTGCTAGGGGTGGCAATGTGCAGGTGGCCAGAACTAAGGAAGCTGTCATTGGCACTGAGATAATTAGACAACCACCATGCACAGGAGTCAGAAAAAACAGCTCTTTGATTGGGAGTGGGAAGCATCTAGAGCCAAAACAAAACCCATCTTCCCCTTAACCAGCTGGATAAAAGAGGAGGCAGAGCTGAAGAGCTTGAGCTCCAGGTCTTCATGACACACAAAGTTATCAATTGGTATTCAGATCTGGAACTTGAGAAAGATTCAGACAGGAGCTAGAGCAAGGATTTGAAAATCATCAGCATCACAAAAGGATTTGCTGACATAGGAATGAAGCCAATTACCCAAGAATTTCTGTAGAAGAGAAAAGAAAGGTGTCTCAGGGAGATATCTGTGGAACACTTAATTAAAACAAGAAAGGAAAAGGATCTCTCCCACCACCCCTGAGCCACCTCACACACACAATGTGTTAGATTTTTTAATGTATATTAAAAATTAAAAGACAGAAAAAGAGAGAGATTTAAGAGGCCAGAAAATCAGTAGACAAATCAGCAGAGAATGGTGCAAACAAAGGGAAAGAGTATTTCAAGTAGGGCCAAATGGGATCAACATGATCAAATGTCACCTCTGAGTCAAGTAAAAAGGAGGGCTGAAGAGGATGTCACAACGGACCTCGGCAGGAGCATTTCCCCGTGTGGTGGGTAAAGGAACAGAGGTGGCAGTACGTTGTTTCTACTTTAAAAAGTGTGGCTGTGAAGGGGAGGAAAAAAGTCAAACAGGCTGGAAGACAAGGTGATTGAGGAGGATGTTTTAGTGTGCCCGCTTGGCTTTGTTTTAAGATGGGAAAGTCTTGAGGGTCTTTACATTGCTAATGAGTAGGAAAGGACAGATCTGGGAAAGTGAAAGTGATAGAAGACTGAGAAAGGAGTGCCCCCAGTCAGACTGTAGGAGGGCTGGAATGGGACAGTAAGCGGTGGAAAGATTAACTAGAGGGGAAGAGGAATCTACTACTTCCGTTCTGATGGTGAAAAGCTGCCAGTGTGGGCTTTCCCTTGCCTTTCTTCCCATGCATATAGGTCTTACTGGAATTCAGACTACTCAATGCTCTGAAACAGCAGAGGACTTCTCCCCATCTTCCTTCCCATCGTGCACATCTATTCATCTCTTTTCTAGGTACGTACAAGTAAATTAGGCATCTCGGTTTCTCAGAACATTGTTTTAAGCACACATCTATATCCCAAACTTATCTAGAAATTTTGCAGTCGATAACATTTTCAGCAAGCTCGGATATATATATTTGAAAAGCATCCAAAACTTCATTAGTCGCAATATGTCTTTCTCAACTATAACCCATCAACCTTGGTACAAAATAAATGCAAGAAGAAGCTTCCAGCCACATAGTTACACCTCAATCATAACAGAGTTGTTAACTCAGAAATGTTGACTTAGTAACCTCAGCATCTCCTATTCAGATAAGATATCCTATATGAGGAAAATATGGCTCATTCTCAAGGTCGCTGTTATTATTAAACAGTAATGTGTCAAAATAGAATGAAAAAGTATCACTTTGCTCAGGAAAGATCCTCAGTTTGATTAATCTGAAGGAAAGCACATAATACACAGTGTAAAGATGAAGCCAGTAGGTTGCTAGCACTAAAATAGAGACTCTTCAAGATATGAAAAAAGAGAAGTAGAAGGAGGAGGAGAAGGTGAAGGAGGGGAAGGAGAAGATGACACTCTCCATATTGCTCTTTAGAATAGAAACAGGGAAAAGTCGCTGTGACTCACCTTGGTTGGTCCATTTCCATTAACTGCCACTGGTAATGTTTCATAAAATACATTCTTAGCTCTGGCTTTGCCATTTTCAAATTTTAAAACAACTTCATCTGGGTTAAAAAGAAAAAAAACAGATTTTAGTCATTTAAAATGTGTGTATTCATATACATATATACATGTCTACATCTATCTATACCTTCTTGTTATAAAATTTCTCATGAATACTATTCCATGTGCTACAACACTTTTAGAAATTTTGCCTACTTTAGGTCAGCAGAGCACCTCAGTCATTCCAACCCAGTACCAGCAAACTGAGGTGCTAAGACACTGACTGGGGTGTCTAGCAGAAGAAAAGCATCTTTGCCATCCTGCTTCCAAGGACTCTTGATAGTAATGTGATCCCATATGAACTAAATTATTGTCTCGATTTAGTCAACTATCAAATGGGATCTTTGCCTGCCTTTCAAAGTCATGAGGATAATAACAATGTAAATATGGCGAATAGAACACTGCCGGACGTAAGCAAGGTTTCCGCAGTTGGCCATTGCTGAGCGTATTTCCAGTTCTTGAAAATCAGGCCTAATGAAAATTCCAGGAATACACAAGTCAGATGGGAGCAGGAACAGCTGGTTTTTCTTGTTGTTTCCAGTTCCTTTCCTCACAATTTCCAAAGCACTTCAAACTAAATGCTTTCCATTCTGAAACTTTTTAGTGCATAAACTGCCTTGAAGAGTTGTACCGAATTACAATGTATTTTTAATGTTTAAAATATTAGTACATTAACGAATTAATGTATTTTTATTTTTAGTATATTGGGGATATTTAGTATATTATTTTAGTATATTTTAGTATATTGATTAATTTAATGGAGTAATGTAATTTTACCAAGAAATATGTCTCTCTGGGAAAACACACAAAGGCATACACACACACACACACACACACACATACACACACACACACACACACACACACACACACACATACAGACATTCCACAGTATATGTGCCTGGTTAGCAGTTACCATTTAAGCTAGGTAAGGTACTCCAATACCCTAATATTCCTGATTAATTAACAATACAAAGAACTTACATGGAAAACTGTGTAATATCATTAAATTCAAAATATATCTCCAGATGCTGAGACACTAAATTCTAAATTACCTAAAGCTAGAAGCTTATCTTTTTTACACTAATCTTAGGAAACGATTTTAAGGAAATGTATTTCACTATGTCAAATTAAGTTCAAGTCCATTGTTTTTTAAAAGTTGTAGTATCTACACAGTAAAACTTTAATCACAGCCCCAAAATGGATACAATACAGGACAGACAGTTGAAAACACAGGTGTTCATTTGTATATATAAACAATTCCATATTTAGGAAGCATACCTACAGCTCCATTTAAAGTCTGGAAAATTTTGCATTTGTGATCCAATGTGATGTTAATAGCTTCCTAAAAATGAGAATATAGATACTATTGAAAATGACAAAAAAAACAGCAAACAACTATCATTTTAACAGCTATCATGTTAATATAGCTTATTCTTCAGGGGAATTTAAGATCCTATTTGTAAATTATTCCAGCAATATTCTTCAGAAAGACAGAAAGACTATATAGTTGACTGAATTAAAGGATAAAGGGTATGCCAAAGCATTTAGGCTGCTCTCCTAATATTTCACTTCTCCACATTGTGACTAATTCTGTCAAGTGGATTTTTAGCAGAAGTAAAATAAATCACTTCTAACCTGACGCAGGGAGCCCCAGTGGCACACAAACTGGTAAGGTCTATGATGACTGCTCCATTAGCCAGTGTCCCCAAGTATCTACAATAAGCTGAAACCCTCTGCTGACCTATCATGGACATGTAGCAGGAGATACGAACCTCTGCCAGGGCAAACTTTTGAGGTTGGGTTATTATTGCGGCATAATCCCCTACCTGACTGCTACAACGGGTATGTAATTAATCAACACAATCATAAAGATTAATCTGCTTTACAGACTTTATGATTCTCAATGTACCCGTTTTCCAGCTACATTTCCCTGTCATAATAAAAATCCTAATACCATCTTTGTGTATTATTATAGACTGAATCTTTGTGCCTCATCAAAATTCATATAAAGTGCTAACCCACAATGTATTGGAGGTATTTGGAGACAGGGTCTTTGGTAGAAAATGAGGGTTAAACTGAGGTCATGAGAGCAGGGCCCTCATGACAGAATTAGTACCTATATCAGAAGAGACACCAGCGTGGTTGTGCATTCTCTGTGTATGTGTGTGTGTGTCTCTCATCACCACATGAGGACACAGCAAGGAGGTGGCTACTGTCTACAACCCAGAAAGAGAGCCTTTGCCAGAAACCGACCATGCCGGCGCCCTGATCTAGGGTAAAGGTTATGTCAAAGCACTCCTGCTCTTCTCCTAATATTTCCACTTCCCCGCCATATGACTAATTCTCCGTTCTTCCAGAACTCTGAGAAAATACATTTCTCTTGTTTAAGCCACCCAGTCTAGAGTACTTTGTCATGACAAACCAAGCAAACGAGGACATGTGTTAACCAGATAAAATCTTACGCTTAGAGAGAATCTTAACCAGGATTTATACAACTACAATTATTACAAACTCAGTAGTGAGATTTCAGGGAAACCACCCTGAAGCAGAGACAACTAAGGAAGACCCAAAGTACTTTCACAGTTGAATTACACGAAGGCAGACACGCATTGTGCTACACAGGCTGGCACTCGGGCCAAGAGCAGGCGTCTCCTCCTAGATGAAGGAGAAAGTCCTCAGGCTTGCTATGTCATACACTTAAGAAGGAAAGCAAAAAAAATGGAGACGAAGAAAAACAAACATTTTAAGAATAAAGTTTCTTAAGGATTAAGTGTCTAATGAAAATATTTAGATGAGTGAAATATTTATCTAAGAAACAGAAACAGCTGTAGTTGCAAACTCACTGTAAACTATTCTTCAAAAAACTGGTTTCCAATAACAGCACCCACAAATTATACAAATTCAGGACATTTTAGAAAGGTATCAGTTGCCTATGGTGAATTTCTGAAACATTAACTTACATTATGTAAATATACTAAACATATTCTAAAGTTAGAGAACTTTGGTTTTATTTTTCTTCAAAGTTTCATTTAAATCAATCTCAGGAATATTCTCTCTAGGGCCTACACCAGACAGCTATTGTTCCCTACATTCTTCTCCTTAATAATAGAAATCAGATTTTTTAATAGAACACTTATGCTTGAAACAAAGGACATTTGTATATTATGTGTAGCCACATAAATATGTTCTAGTCAAAGAAAAAATAAGAGGAAAGTTTTTTTCTAGCAAAATTATTTAAATAGAGGTAACATAACTGAGATCAGAACTGAGATGGCCTCTTATTTACCATTCTGTCCATTAACTGCCTATGCCATGGATACAATGGCTGGAGCTCCGGTAAACACCTTAAGTAAGGAGGTTATATTACATACCCTCTTCAGTGGATCAATGTAAATTTTAGTGTAAAAGAGCTGATCATCATCATTATCCTGGAGATTCCACTGCTGAACTATACGGTTGATATATGGAGCATAGCCAATAAATCCTGCAATATAACCGAGGGGGATTAGAGAATTTAGTAATCAAAGACCAAAACTTGTTTTCTATTAATTCCATTCAGCAGTTGCACAGAGTTGTAAATCCATTAGGTCTAATCCTTAAGTTAGAATTTTACAGCTTACCATGGAAGAAATGAGTTATTGAGCATCCTTTGTTTTATACATAAACTATGAGTTTTTACCACCAACTACAAATCAAAGACTCTTAGTGAATAAATACATCCCCAAAATTAATTGACACAACAGAGGGAATAATGTTTTCCAAGGCTCCTCAGGGAAAAAGTTACTGGGAAAAGAACAGAAGAAGACAGATGAACTTTCTTCCTGACCTTCTAAAATGCTCTTTCTTGGATCCTTTGGAGACGATTCACTGTTTCTAAAAAAAAAAGAAAAAAATCTCCACTACAGTGGTTTTAACGTCAGTGCAGAGATGCTAACAAAATCAGAGGAATGTTGGAAATGTCACTGACTGCAAACATCTCAAAGAAATTTTATATCTAGGACATATTGGGAATTTTTCCTTTACTTGAACTGGTCATAATTGTACCTGCTAAACCATTTTCTGGCTAGATTTTTTATGCCACAGTCTGGAGAAAGGAAGTCTAAAATTGGATTGTTCCCCTTGGCCTTCGAACATAAGCATTAAATCTGCCAGTAACAGTTGTCTATAAAAGACACAGACAACAGTATCATTTTTCCCCTGTTTGAATCTTCCTCTGAATTTCAGAAATGCAGCCAAGCTGCTATGTTTCATTGACATACAATACTTTTAAAAAGGGACCAATGTTACTCCTGTGAATTGAAAGGAAACCTAACTTTTTACCCTCAAAATTAAAATTGCTCATAGGAATAAAGGAATGAAAAGAAATAGGTCCAGAAATTTAGTTACTTAGAGAAATCAAGAGAAAATAAAAACATGCTTAAGCCAATCACTGGCCGCTCATTTTTGTTATTTTTATCAAATTAAAAAAATTCCTAGAACACTGAAAAACAGTGAATTTTTAAATTCCTATTATCAATATACTATAATGAAAAATATGTCCAAGTAGTGGCATATGACATTTTCCAAAGGTTTATATTACCCCTTTTCAAAAATTATGCTTCCTTATGCTTTTTATAAATCTACTTCAAAAATGAAAAGAAATTCCATCTATTTTCATAGTATGTGATATATTTTATATACATATATATTTCTATTAAATAACTCTTACCAGACCATTCATGAAATTGTATAATCTTGTATTGAATATATTTAGATTTTCTAGCATCTCTTTAACTATTATTACTATAGAAAACATAGGAATCATATTTTGATGTCCTTATATAATCTCTTTCCCACTTAAAAACACCTTTTCCTTAGTTAAACTTGCACACAAAGGCACTCACTTGAGGGGTTTTTGCTGTTTCCACAGCACTGTGCATCTGTTTGAAATTTATACTCTTGAACACATATATCTCCATCTAGAAGAATGTCACCATCTCGATGAATCATTACATAATTTGTATATGAATTATATCTAGATGTTTTAATATACATATCATGTTTAGAAAAATTAATAAATATAAAATAAAACTCCCAGAGTCCCCCAGCTAACTGGTTTCTAAATTATATAGGACTTAGGATAAGTTAAAATCTAGCCATGTGCTATTGACAGGCTGACGTTTGGCAGTAGAAGCAGCATCAATCCATAATTGAGGATTTAGACAGAGAAGTCAAAAGTGGGCAATAATCTTAGGGAGAGGCTTTGTCAGTACATAAACCGTAAATCTAAGAAGGAAAGATTACTAAGGCAATGAGGTCAAGTGACCAACACGAGGAAACCTAGGTTGTGACTGGTGATAGATAGGTTAGGAGAAAAATAAAATAGTCAAGAAATCCCCCAAACTATCAATTGCAGTTGTATTGAGATGAAGAGAAAAAGTGAGCTGAAACTAGGCAGTACAAACTGGAATTTAAGGCTTCAGAAGTACACTATTTATATGGCCTGACAAAATTCCAAGGTACAACTATGGGAATATATTGCATAAAATATATTGCAGGTAAACAGAGCTGGAATTGAGGCATTCTAGAGAAAGTAAATTACTTGCAAAAGGTTTCATTGCCATAAATGCCTTGAGCAGAGCCTAGAATCCAAAAATGCTGCTATGTCAAGTAGTAGTTACTTGAACTAAACTAAACAGTATCAGTTATGTGTATGTGAATCACCCAAAAAACATTTGTTTTCCCAACATGGCTTGTAACTTTCATCCAACTAATTTCTCTAATATGTCCCCCATCCTATTTGGTTATATCTTCTGGTCATATGTTTATATTAACCTTGGTCTAAGGAAAACATTTTGGAGTCATCATAATGTCCAAAGTCAAGTTTATTTTATTTTTTGAAAGGAAAGGGAAAATGTGATAATTTGTTACTTTAATTCATGGTGGAGTAGCTAATGCAGTACTTTATACTCAGACACTCAAAACTGAACCTTTTTGACTACTGATTTAAAGACAAATCACTCATTTACTCTGATACATTTAAAATATAGACAAAATTAAGTAATGCCTATATTTTATAGCTAAGTGACTGTAGCTTGCACTTTTTCCTAAGTAAGGGAACTTACTAAATCCATTATCCTATAGCCAGAAAACTGTCAGTGAAACTATAATCAGACCAGAATCCATGCTGTTTTTCCTTGAACAACTGAATGTCTTTAGGAGAAATCACTTAAATTTGGGGAACAGAGGTTTTCCCACTTATGTTCTGGAAATAATAACATTTACACTGCTTAGTTTTGTTAGGGGCATCATATGATATGATATATGGAAAATGTTTTGTCTACTAAAATACACCATGGATTCTAAGCTGATATAATTTTTCATAGTAATAAGAAGCTAATGGTTCATGTCTATTTACATATACAAAAAAAAGGTTGTTTCATCAATATTTATAATTTTCTATGACTAGCATTAAACTTCTCTGCCAGTATCTTACCCACCTCCCGAATTCAGGTAGCGTTTCCCAAAGTGCACAATGGGATACTTGTCTGCTAGTCTTTTATCTGGCCACAGAATTCCATCTGCTGCAAAGACCACTTTGTGGTTTGACTTTTGGAACTTTTTTAGAACTTCTTCTGGACCACCAGCAAATATGACATTAAAGCTGTTTAATGAGGGGGGAAAAAGAAGTTTTAAAATACACTTGTCAATTTAGGCACATAAACCAAGATATAGTCATGAATAAAACTGAGAATTTAGAATCCAACATAAGATTAATACCAACTATTTACAGAATACTCCAATTTTCCTTCAATTTAAATTATATGGGTTGTACTAAATTATTAATGTTTACATTACATTGGCAGATGAAGTCCAAATAAAGATGTTTTTTAGTACCAGTCTTAATGCATTTTTTCAATAACTACATATTCACCAAAATCAAACTGCTCAATCAGTGTTCAATGCTCAAAAGTCAATAACTTGGGGCGCCTGAATGGCTCAGCTGGTTAAGCGTCCAACTCTTGATTTTGGCTCAGGTCATGATCTCATGGTTCATGAATTCGAGCCCTGTATTGGGCTCTGTGCTCTGTCTCCTCCTCTCTCTGCCCCTTCCCTGTTCATTTTCTCTCTCAAAATAAAAAAACATAAGCATTTTAAAAAAGTCAATAACTAAATATATAACTTAATAATATAGACATAGTCATTGACAGAAGCTGCCATTATAACTGCCTACTTTGTACCCAATTTAATTTGTACAATTTACAATTTAATTTGTACCCAACCATTATCATTTCTGAAGCTTTCATGATCTTTGAGAAATGTGTTCAACTACTAAAAAATGACCATTATAAATTTATATTTAAATTACTATTTAGCCTGAAATCCTAAAAGTGTTAGACAAGTGCATCTTTCTAAAGCTCAATAAAATTGGAAAAAATTATCCAAAAATTGACACTATAGGGGCACCTGGGTGGCTCAGTTGGTTAAGCATTTGACTTTGGCTCAGTTCATGATCTCACAGTTCACGGGTTCGAGCCCCACATCAGGCTGTGCTGATAGCTCGGAGCTGAGAGCCTGCTTCTGATTCTGTCTCCCCCTCTCTCTCTGCCCATAATGTGCTAACGCTCTATCTCCCCCTCTCTCTCAAAAACAAATAAACATTAAAAATCTTTTTTTAGTTGACACTCTAATGTCAATGGTTTCATTAACTTTTCTGGAGACATTATTGCTCATTGTTGATTCACGGAAATGACTAACCAAATATGAAGTAGAAAAGCCACAACCTGATATGCTTCCACTCTGCAATAAATTCTTTATTCTTGTTACAGCCATAAATTCTTCTGCATCTTTTTTTTTCACATCAGAGTACCTCAGGACCAAAAGCTTCCAAAGATGCTAACTTAATGACCTCATATCCCAGGTAGTAAACAATCAGAACAAACTAATGCTCCTGAATTCAGCAATAAAGGCCAATTCCAGATACACGGCTGTGATATCTGAATGGAGGAGTAAGGATACTATTCTACATGCCTTTCCCAGCCAGACTTGCTCTCAAAGAGCGTGGTAACATGCTAAGACAGTAGTCATGCATCAGGCAACATTTAATAATTTTTTATATGTGAGTTATTTTGTCAACATAAAACACACGACTGTTCATCTCTATAAAAATAAAAACCCTGTGAAGCTTTAAAAATTATTTTAGTGGGGTACCTAGATGGCTCAGTTAAGCAGCCAACTCTTGATTTTGGCTCAAGTCATGATCTCAAAGTTTGTGGCTTCAAGCCCCATGCTGAGCTCTGAGCTGACACTGCAGAGCCTGCTTGGGATTCTCTGTCTCTCCATCTCTCTCTGCCTCTCCCCTGCTTGTGCTCTGTCTCTCTCAAAATAAATAAGTGAACTTTACAAAAATTTACTTTAGCAAGAATAGTGTAAGTTTATACTTGTGGCAGAGGTGCTAACTGACCCCCATATACATTCCCAAGCCTTTATTTTAATAATGGAATGCCCTTGTGTTAACTGGGCACATGGTCATCGTACTAAAGACTTCTCTGAAGCTAGATACGGGCACATGTCTAAGTCTGTCTAGTGGAATGTGAGTGGAACTGATGTGCTTCTGTAATCTCCTTTAAAAGGAAGTTGCTTTCCCTCTGTTCCTTTCCTCTTTTTCCCCTTCATGGTGAACTACACTTTACAAGTAAAAACTACTTGACATACACAATCTTCACCAGATAGTACACTCTGAGTCTTAAACAAAACTAAACACATGTGAATTAAAATGTTAGGAATGTGCAACTACAATTAGTAATTATGCCCAGCCAATTTTTTTTAAAAGAAAAAATAAGGTTGGGATCAGAAAGGTAGACTACTTCTTTTCATTTTATATCATTCTAGATGATTTAAATTTTATGATTTGTTTTTCTTTCAATTACAGAAAATATCATCTCAAAACTTATCTACATATACACCTTCCCATACAGAGCTTTTTCTTTCTTCCAGTATCAATAGGCAAGCTTCTGTTAATACTATTAATAACATAATCATAAGGGGACTCAGAGCATACAATTTGAAGTCTTCTAGTTGGGTTTCTAATTTCAGCTCTGCCATGTGCTGAGTAACCTTAGGCAAGTTACTTAAATTCTTTATGCTTTAGTTTCTTTATGTATAAAAAGGGGGAGGAGGGTAGTACCTAGCTCATCAAGTTATTGAATAAAAAGTTAAGAACAACACATGGTATGTTATACACACTCAATAAAGTTAAAAATTAACATTACTGTTACTAGATGAAAGGGACTATAACAATGGGAGAGGCAGGAGGAAAAGTCACTTTTACGTTTATACCAATCTATAGTTTATAGTGATTTTATTTTTATATACACATATGTGTTAAGATAAATTTTAAATCAGAATAAATGTGTTCTAAGTTGATTTAAAAACTGAATTAATCTGACTGTACAAAATAATATTTATAAAAATGCATCTATTTTTTTTCTTAAGAATAAGAACTTAGTTTCTCAGGATGACCACTTGAGATCTCTGACCACTAAGATAATACTTTCTTACTTTCCAAAGACTACTAGTTGTTGATACATATCAGATTAAACATTAGGAAGGAAGACCAATGTCATGGGTAATTAAGCCATGAGAGGCAAGACAAAAAAATCAAACCTTCTGAGATAGCGACTGCCCTATAAGCTGCAGATGGCTCCCAGCACATTGTTTGGAAATGGAAAAAAGGGCTTATTATGTCAGAGAATCACATGATTGGGAGACTTGGGCCAACTGATTCAGAAATTGTATAGGTAGCATCACATCTTCAGAGGCATAAATGCACATTTGGAAAGTGAATGTTTTCTGTCTTTACAAACCTGAGGAAGACTATAGAATCTACACCATCTATCTGAAACTACTGGCAGAATCCAGTAGCTTGAAAGGGAGTCAGAGCAACTTCTACTTAAACAATTTAGTAGTTTATAAGCAAGCATTACCTTTATAACACAAAATTATTATTTTCAGTTTATATATTTGAGAGAGACAGACACAGCCCACGTGGTGGAGGGGCAGAGAGAGGGAAAGAGAGAGACTCCCAAACAGGTTCCACAATGGTGGCACAGAGCCCAATGTGAAGCTCAAACTTACTAACCATGAGATCACGACTTAAGCTGAAACCAAGAGTTGGACACAACTGATTGAGCCACTCAGGCAGTCCCCAAAAATAATTATTTTAAAGTAAAATGTAAAGGCAAAGATTATGTTCACATAACTGAAGTGAGAATTTAACTCTGAATAAAAATTTAAGGTTGCTAAAACTTTCCCATTTCCTTTTAGTGGCATTGTTATTTCCATGTTTAAGTATTTTAGAACAGTTCTCTGAATTGATTTAAAACTTTCAAACGGCAAGAAAGTTTTTCTACTTAAAATTACTTTGGCCACAACAACCCAAATAATCAAATTTTTAAAAAATGCACAACAGTCATAAAAATAATTCTCATAGGAATTTGGTCCATTTAAAGATGAAGAATAAAATTTTCCATAGTTAACTGTAGTAAATATTCCTGGGTCCTGCAAAAACCATAAGGTCCCACCTTATGTGGTCATATTGAGTTCTCTAACAGACATGTCAGCATTCTATCTCCAACAGGTCATTCAAACTTTTACAAGCGTTTGCCCTTCTGTGTGTGTTCCCTGTTTCTGTGGCACCATCAACCACACAGTCTCCCAAGCTGAAAATCTTTCATCCAGCCTTATCTCGCCCTTTCTATGGCCTCTCTCATCAAATATTTCACCAAATCCTATCGATTCCATCTACTTAATCCATTTAGCATTCAAATCTTCTCCACCCTTTCTAGAAGACACTGGACTTCAAAAGCCAATTCAAAAGCCCCACAAGCCTCCACATTACCTATCTCCTCACTTCTGATAAAGACTGACTGACAAACTCTCCTAAAAATCATTCTGTGCTAGTCCCCAGGCTGGCTGAATAGTTCTCAACTAGGTCTAAAGTAGGACTCTGCAAATATTTGCTATCTAACCTTTTACAGAAAATAATTTTGGCTTCGAGGGCAATATGGTCTCCACTGCAAGGGCTCAATTCTGCCATTGCGGTGCAAAAGCAGCCAGAAACAAGGACCATAACTGTGTTCCAATAAAACTATTTATAAAAATAACCAGTGAGCTGGCCTCTGGTTTACCAGCCCCTGGCCTACAAAGTCTAAAAGAATCAGCATCACAATAACTTTCCATTTAGTAACCTGTTCTGAAACCAAACTGAATTATTTGATCTGTCACCCACGTGTTTTCTCAAGATGTTCTATCTGCTTAGCACATCTTCTCCCAATAGGGTACAAACCATTCCTCTGTGAGGCCCATTTCAAATTTCACCTCCTCTAAAAACTTCTACTTGATTAGCCGAAATGGAAGAGACCGTTTCCTTCCTTTTAACTCCCACAGATCTTTTCCCCTCTCATTTCATGAAACATTTTATTTCTTGTTTTTCACACTGGAACTGCCTATCTTATACTAGACTCCCTGTTCTTCCTTCACATGCCAGATCCACATCGTTATTCATCTATGTATTCCACTAGCCTTGTATTTGGAAGACAGTTAGTAAATATTTGTTGAACAAATAAATGAAAAGTTGAATGAATGAGTCATCCCAAGTCTTAA